AGGCGCGATCGGGGCGCCGGGGCCTAGACCGGGGCGCACGGGCTGGATGTGACAGGGCCTGGGGGGGGAGGCGGGGCGGTCGCATCAAGGGGCGAACTAGGGGCGCTAGGGGAGGCTAATGGCTTACTAGGTGCGTAAGCTAGGATAGGCAAGGTAGCTGGGGCGGAAGCAGTTGACCGAACTTGCTCGATGAGACTCTAACTACCCAGGTAATGGCACCGCAAAATTATAAGTAAAATGGCTGGGTGGAGGGTCTATAGCTATGACCACATTCGTTATGCACCCCCGTTTTGTAACGAATGCAAATTAGACCTTTCTCACTGTATAGTGGGCAAGAATGTTAGCGGGCCGCATATGAATTTATCAAAACTATTGAGTTGACTACAACATTTGACCATGCTAACACATGGTCAATACGCATCACCAGACCCCCAGACTTGATTTGGTGACCAGGTATATTTGACTCTCGTTGCATTATAACCAAGATCGTGGAACACTTTAACGGCCAAAAGAAATGGTCGACCATAAGGGTGGTTCTGGCGATTGCGAACAATATAGAGTGTAGTTCCGTGGATTCGAAAGGCATAGTAGTTACCATGGCTTGACCAAAATCTAATGGTATTTCCTGCATGGCATTCGGGGATGATTGTCTACCAGTATTTAACATCGAATGTGCTTCTCTAACCCTAGCATACTTGCCAGATACCAAATTGCTTTCCACTACCCCCAATATTCCGCACCCCCTTCAAATTTGTAACTTGTGATAAAATGTTTTGCTTTCAAGCATGGGGGGTATTTTCAGTGAGTGTCCACTGTCAGAAACGAAATGATGATTCTATTGCTGTGAGTTGGGGTACATATGCCTAACCCTAACCAACCGTACCCCACATGACAAGCCTCACTACAAGCTACAATATTTGACACACCCCCATAGCCTAAGTGAGGGGTGTCATGCAACAACCAAAATGTACAGTGACAAGACCAGTCATAAAGACACAAAGCTCAGGGTGGATCACAACGTCACCAAACAGTCCGAGCGCAAGCAAGAGGCCACAAGGCTAGTCAAAAAGTCCACATAGGTATATGTAAAGAGTAAAATCAAAGCAAGCAGACAACACAAGTTTACACAAGACGAGAGCCTGTGTCCACGAGACCTAACTGCAAACAGAACCTGTGGTGGCCACAAGGCGGAAGGGCCTTGGTGAAGATGTCTGCAGTGTTGGCCTTATAGTCATTGAAGTCCAAACGAGCCTGTCCACGCCTCTGCAACTCTCGAAGAAGAAATACATGACGCTGATGTGCTTCACTCAGCTCTTCAGTCGAGGCTCTTGACACAAGTGAATCATCGCCTTGTTGTCTGTGAGCAAGGTCGGTGCAGACCTCGCCCGCTCACCAAGGTCAGTGAGTAAGAAGGTCAACCAACGCAGCTCTTGTGCCGCCATGGCTTCCGCGTAAATCTCGACCTCAGCAATAGAGGTCAAGACAGAGAAGGAACGAGTACCCCAGATCTCCGAAACACACAGAGCCTAGACTGAAACAGTACCCCTCGTGGACCTTTGAGACACGACGTCGTCGTCGTAAGAAGAGTCGCAGTGGCCAGTGAGCACGACAGTCTGTCTTCCTCCAAGCACCAGCCCCATGCCTGATATCGTCTCTAGGTACTTCGCCACCCTCTTAGCAGCCGTCAAGTGAACAGGACGGTGTCTCCCTGGCGCAACAAAGCGGGCAAGGATGCTGAGAGGGAAGGCGAGGTCCGGGCGGTTACAAGGTACATGAGGCAGCCTTCAAGCCCTGGGTAAGGACCACTAGGCTCAAACGGCTCGTCAGGAAAGGGTCCAGTGAGTCTGTGGTCAACAGCAAGAGGAGTAGGCTGTGCAGTGGAGAACTGAAACTCAGACCACTGAAGAATCCGGTGCACCATATGTGACTGGGTCAGAGTGATGGTGCGAGCTCCTCTGTCATTAGTGATCTGCAAACCAAGGTATTGGCGCAGTTCACCAAGGTCAGTACACGTGTGTCTCCTCTGCAGTTCGGACTTCACGTCTGCCAAAGCAACCCTGTCAGCAGTGGCGAAGAATAAGTTGTCGACGTAGACTAGTACAGAGAAAGGTGTGGAGCCACGGTGAATAAACAATGACGAGTCGGCAGAAGAAGGATGGAAACCGAGGTCAGACAGGGTAGAGCGAAAAGTACCTGGCGAAGCACCTGGCGGAGACCGTAGACTGGGCCTCCACTGGGTCCCAGAAGGGAAAGTGCTAGTGAAGGCGGAGGGACGACGAAGCCAGACCTCCTCGTGAAGGCTACCCTTAAGGAAGGCAGTGAAGAAGTTGAGAGAGTGTAACTCTCTGTGCTGCCATGTGAAGTAACACCCGAAGAGTGGGGTTAGGCGCAATGGTATGAAGGAAGTCAACACCCTCACGCTGACTGAAACCTCTAGCCACGTAACGCGCCTTGAAGACCGGAGGAGATCCCGGTGGCCGCTTCACCTTGAAGATCCACATGCCATCGATTGCGTTCGTCCCCGCAGGGGGAACCTCGTCAACGTAGGTGCCTGTGGATCTGTAGGAGACCATATCTGCGTCCATGGCAGCTCTCTACTGAGAGGCCCAAGGCCCTGACACTGCCTCAGCGTAAGTGTGAAAATTCGGTATGTTAAGGGCGTCGGGGTCTCCTTAAGGGGCAAGCAGCATGGCACAGAGATGAGGCGGCGCCGCTGCCATAAAATCTAGCTCAAACTGCCTATCCTCTAGGGCGTCACAGCCAAGGGCAGACTCACCCCCGACGATCAGAGGACGAGTAGGAGAAGCAGCCACGACACGAGTGCCGTAGTCAAGGCGGCGAGTAGCGGCGAACTCTGTGACAGCGGCAGTAAGGGCGGAGACAGAGGACAGAGAGGCACGAGGCGGGAACACAAGAGAGAACAGGACGATACATGTGGTAGTAGTTAGTGACAGGAGTAGAGAGGGAAGCAGTGAGGGCCGACTCAGGGGGAGAAGGAAGCACAGAAAGAGACGGACGAGGGGAGCTAGAACAAAACAGGACAGTACGAAGGTCAGTGACGGGAACAGGGGACGAGGGACGAGCACGAGGAGAGCGAGAAGCCCAAGTGTGAGAAAGAGGAGGGGACAATGGAGGTTGAGAACGGGGGAAAACAGCCGGGGTGGAGTCAGGAGGAGGAAACATGGGACCGTAGACAGGAGAAGGGGAGGAGGGAGGAGAAGTGGAGGGGAGCTCAAGGGCCCGAAGGCCAGAGACAGGAGGCGTAGGCGGCCACTGCTGCTGCTGCTCCGGCTGCTGCGGCCGCCGCTGCTGTGGGTGCTGCTGCTCCTGCTGCGGCGGCTGCTGCGGGCGGCTGCGGCTCCTGCTCGTGCTTCTGTTGCGGTTGCTGCTGCTGCTGGCAAACAATTTTTTCTGAAAATATCGCATCCCTCAAATATTTGTTACACCCTTTGAATTCGCCAGACCCAACCATATGGTCAACCTTTTGGCATAGTCGTTGAAATGTTCCACACCCTAATTGACATTAGACTGTCGTTGGTGAGAAACCTTTACTTAAAGGCTGCCAGAATAGAGTTCCAAAATGAACTGAGTTCTAAAAGCAAACTTACGGATTTTCCTTATAACACTCCAACAATCACCCACATCCACCGAGACATCCAACCGTTCCCTTCACAAGCCAACGCTGGTTGGGTGCTGCAGGCTGTTGTCAGTCGCCTCCAGCAATTGAAAAAACGCGCGCGAAAGTCCCACTGTTCCGCGGTGAGTACAGTACAACGGTGGGCTGACTGACGGTGATCTGGCGGAGCGCTTGCGGCACAGCACAACCATCGGTGTTCGCGAATGAATTGCGACACCGAATGCGAAGGACTTTCCGCTTGGCATGGCTGCGACGTTTCTTGTGTCACCACCCCTCGCCAGGGTGAAATTGACCCAGTCGCATCAGTCGCAGACACCTAAGGACGCGTTACAAGTAGAATACCGAGGAAGGTTCGGGGTATTCACCGAACCTGCTAAACCGAACGCCATATCGGTGTGCCACGACTGCTTTCAAGTTTCAAGTGACACGATCGTAAAAACATGGGGCAAAATTGCCCGATGTGGACGAAATTGCACGATCGATGTGTGACAAGGGCACATCGATCGCCTGACTTCGAAGGGACAACTGTACGTTAGCGAAAATAAACCAAACTATGTAACCACCTCAACACCGATTCTAGGCAGGATCGATGTTCTACTTGTGACGCGTCCTAAGCCATGCACGACAAGGAACTATTGTGACTCATGCCAACCAATCGCTTGGTTCGGGATATGACGGAGCGACCAGTCACCGTCTCTCCGCTCACCCCGCTGCTTCGCACGGCAGCTTGGGTTTGAGCCATCGCGTACCACACCGGGAAAAGCGGGGGAAGGATCTTTCTTGTCCAGGGAGGGGGGAAGCAATCGCAAGTGCTTGGAAGTTGGGCAAGGGGCAGCGGGCAGTGATTAGAAAACAACTCCTCACTACGTACATGTAGTGCCGATTCATCATTTTTGCATCTTGTTTCCCGCCCGGAGCGTCGTGTTCCTTTTTTCTTCACCTGCCATTCCCCTTTCTTCCGTCTAGCTTTTCAAGTTCCAAGTTCCAACTAACCTCACTGGAGAGATTCAACACAACACTCTTGCTTGCACTTGCCTTACCGCTTGGTTGCAGGCAAGGCTTTCCCTGGCTTTTGGTAGGCCACTCACTTGCTCAAGCAGTAGTGCTGGTCTTCTAGAACGAATCTGGATCGACTTGCCGAATTCACCTATTATGGAGTTTGTCTTCCCACGCTCGTGTGATCGATCCATGAGAACTTAGGTGTCTGGCGTAGCTTGCGACTGTGCTTCACGATTTAGTTTAGGACTGCGTGTGTACCCAACAACAAGATATTTTAATCGTGCATCTTGCAGGATTCACCGCGTCTTCCGTCATAAGGTTGTCTAGCAAAGCATACACAAGGACGATATAGAATTTAGGAGCCATGCGGCTAAAACGGTTTGATCCGTTTAGATTCGGGCGGCTGATGTACGAGCGCGATGACACGACGAATCCGCTTCGGAGCCCGACGCACAGGGGAAGCATGGCACACGGGGGAAGCCATCGCACGGTCAACGTGAACGACCCGCGGTCACACGCTCATCAGCAATACAAGGTTCGCTTGCCTTCGTACCGCACCTCATCGCTGCTACTCTACTGTTCTTATGCTCTTCTGCCAGCGAGAATCTGCCGTCATAATGTCTTTTCGTCGTTTGAGCTGGCCTCGTCGATCTCTGATTTTCGCTCGCCTTAAAACTTACTTCCGATTCTCCTAATCACCCTATGCTTGCACGTTTTTCAAAGTCACTATCCTTCTGTTTTGCTTTTGTATGGCACTGATGAATCGTTGCGTGTGATGCCGCGCCGTTCTTACCATAGTCTGACGTTTTTTTGGTCACGGATTCTCGAAATGACTCGCTCCGTGCACGCCCGCTCAAAATGCTGTGTTTCTGTTATTCGAAACGTTTGGTTTGCCTCGATTATATCCTCTCGCATGGTTTCCCAGCGTAATTCTTGTGTGGAAATCCTCGTCTTCATCTCCGTCCGTTCTCTTCTCCCGTCCTCCTCGCTGTTTGGCAGAACAATGCCGTATCCACGACCAAGTATTCGTTTTTGACCTTCCTCCCCAAAGGCCTCTTCGAACAGGTGTGCTCATTCTTGAAATCTTTTCAGTTTCCGACCCTTCCGCGTTCACGTCGTCGTCGCTGTTGCGTTAGTCGGCTCGCAACGAATCAACGTGCCTGGAAATGTAGCAACACATTTGAGAACGCTGAAGAGGAGAACACGAGCAGAATGTGTCTTACATTAAAACTGTTCGTTCTGCGAGGTTGCTATTTGATAATGTGAGCCTTTTCGATCCGTCAAAGGAAGAATTTAGCCAGGATGATAAAATATGGCCTTTCCGGACTCAACCGACGAGGAAATTGTGTTGATGGTTTCACCAGTCGGCTAGGCCGCTATTTACAGATCGAGGCGTCGATATTGACGTCGGGTTTTGCGAAGAGATGTTTCGCGGCGGCTCCTCGCTTATGACGATCTCTCGAACGTAGATCCTCGCGTGTTACGCCGGATGGCGTGATGGCGGTATGAATCTGGCGAGATTCGACCTGACCCTTTCCCGCAATTCCGGCGTTGACGAGCCGTCCGTCGCTACTACGCGCTGTTTCTGCGCTCCAGGCGCGATGTATGGTTGATGTAGAGATGTGCGGAACTGTTCAGCGTGCTCGGTTACTTGTTCCTAGAGTCGACTGAGAAGAAAGATGCGGATGATTAATTGTGATTTTGTGTGTTTTCTTTGCGCGTGTTGTTGTTGTTGTTCTCGCGATTGTTGCCGCGCCACTTCTGTCGCAATTGTTATCGCCGTCGTTGTCTCTGTCGCCGCTGTCCCTGTCGGCGTTGTTATGCTGTGTCTGCGATGCGCCTGTTGCTGTCGCTGCTGTCGTTGCCGTCGCTGCTGTTGCTGCTGTCGTTGCCGTCTCTGCAGTTTCGGAGAGTCGCCAACCTCTACTTCCTTCTCATCGCCATTCTTTCCACAACGCCCGTCAGGTGAGCCTACATCCCTTGCCCTGAAATTCCTCGTAAAACGCGTAAAAGCCGCCCCTCATTTTAGTGCCAGTTAGCTGCGCGGGTAGCTCTTCTGGCGGTTTTAGGAGCCTGCAATACCTGTCTCGATCAAGGTCGTCTCTTTGTTTTTTCCCTCAGCCATGCTTGTGGGCCAAGCGGGATTGATCAGGCGAAGGAACGATATCATGCACTTGAAAGAATGCGGCATTCAGCAGCATTTGAACCATGTTTACGTGGTCGCGCTGGTTCCAGCTACCTGTGCTGTGCCCGTGCCGAGCTCTGTGCATTCTTGCGCTGCCAATGCTATGTGCTTCTCGCCGTGTACTGATCTTTCTCCGTTGCACTTCCCTGCACTCCCTTGCACTCCCCCGCACTCCCCTGCTCCATCCCACACTCCCGTGCACGCCCTTGCACTCCCCCGTACTCCCCTGCGCTCGTTGCGCGTTTGCTTTCCCGTGACCAGTCCGGTGAACCCCATTACCAACGTGCTGCCGCTCGTGCTCGTGCTCATGGTCTCACTCATCAAAGAAGCCTTTGAAGACAGGGTCAGTCTGCCTCTCCTTCCCCCTCCTTCCCCGGCCCCCCGTCCCCTCCTTCCCTTCCTCCAGCCTTCGACCCTTCTTTCCACTCGTCTCCTCTCCCCCCTCTGTCCGCGTTTTCTCTCTTTCTGTCTCTCGCGTGCATCCCTCTGCTCCTATCTCTTTCCTTCGCTTCTCATTTTGGCCATCCTTGTTGTCCGTCGCCCTTCGCCCTTCTCACTCTCTGTCCTCCGTTTCTGTTGCTGCCCCCGCGTGTGCTGCCCTCGCGTGTGCTTGCTCCCTCGTGTGCGGCCTGTGCCCTGTGCTGTGTGGAGCAGAAGCGGTACAACAGCGACAAGGTGATCAACTCGAGCATCACGGAGTGCTTGCGAGGCAACCAGTGGGTCCAAACGCCCTGGAGTGCTGTTCGTGTCGGCGACATTCTACGGGTACGTTCGTTCGTTTTCGTATTCCACCGTTCTCCACCGCGTTGATCTCAGATGTTGAAGCCACATACCCACGTCCCTATGCCCATTTCCCCCTTTTCCCCCCCGTCTCCCCACCCAAAGCCCCCTTGCCTTCCGCCCGCTTCCCCCTCCTCTCCACCTTCTGTTTCACCACCACGTGAAGGCATGCCCGCCTCGTTTCCCCCTATCTCCCATGCTAACGCTTCCACGCTTCCATGTCTGCCATTCCGACGATGTGCTGATGGTGATGGTGATGGTGATGATGGGGATGGGGATGGGGATGATAGTGATGGTGATGGTGATGGTGATGGTGATGATGGTGATGGTGATGGTGATGGTGATGGTGATGGTGATGGTGATGGTGATGGTGATGGTGATGGTGGTGGTGGTAATGATGATGATGATGATGATGATGATGATGATGATGATGATGATGATGATGATGATGATGATGATGATGATGATGATGATGATGATGATGATGATGATGATGATGATGATGATGATGATGATGATGATGATGATGATGATGATGATGATGATGATGATGATGATGATGATGATGATGATGATGATGATGATGATGATGATGATGATGATGATGATGATGATGATGATGATGATGATGATGATGATGATGATGATGATGATGGTGCGGATGGTAATGCCACCACGGCGCTGCTGCGAGTGCAGGTGAAGTCGGACCAGTACTTCCCCGCGGATCTGCTATGTCTCGCCACCACCAACGGAGACGGCATCTGCTACATTGAGGTGCGTGCGCCCCCTGCCGTCCGCCCTTGTTGCTCGCTGACAGGGGGTTTGCTGGGAGTAGCGGAGGGGGTCAGGGTGGCAAAAGGGGACGCGGAAGGGGAAAGAAGGCGGATGTGGGTGGAAGTGGGAGGAAGAGGGAAAGGGAGTGGTCATTGAGTAGTGACCTGGTGGAGGAGTGGGTTGAAGGGGGCACGGTAAGGCCACGAGGGCGTGAGTCGGAAACACTGTTCATTCTTAGAAACTGGAACATGTGAGCTTGCTGGCAAGGCAGAGCCAAGGGGAGAGAATTTCTGCATGTGAGGCGTGGGTGTTCTGGCGAAGGGTGCCCTGGCGTGGGTTTGCTGGCGATGGCAGTGCTGGGCATTGCTCGCAGTGGCGTTTCAGTGGGGTGGTGTTGGCGCGCTGACGTTTCCGTTTGTGCTGTGTTGCCAGCGCTCTTCACAGTCTACGCTGTGTGCATGGCACATGTGTGTTGAGACATCTCGCAAGCCCTCTGGTTGTGGGTTCCGTTCTGTGTCAACTCAGAAGCCACCTTGTGTGCAATTTGCCCCGTGCTGTGTGCTGTGTGCTGTGTCCCATGTGCTGTGTGCTGTGCTCCGCGTGCATGGCAGACGTCGAACCTGGACGGGGAGACGAATCTGAAGATCCGTAAGGCGCTGGAGCGCACATGGGAGTACATCACTGCCGATGCTGCTTCTGACCTGCGAGGTACGTACTGGGCGCGCATGCGTGTGTGCGTGCATGGCTGTGTGTATGTGTGCTTGTGTGTGCCAGTGTGTGTGCTGGTGCTGGTGGCGGGGGTGTTGCGTGTGTGTGGGATGAAGACATGAAGCAGCTGTGAAGCATGGTGTGCTGACTCTCACGTGAAACGTTTTTTTTTGTCTTATCCCTTCTTTTTTTTGTCCCTGCACAATTCTCCCTGCCATCTTCTCCCTACGCTCATCGCTCCCCTCCCTCTTCCTTGTTCTTCACTCACCTCGCCCTCGCCCTCACCAACCCCCCATCCCTCCCTCTTCTTGTCAACCCCTCATTGGTTCCATCAGTCATCTGCTCACCTGCTCATCCATTCTTTTGTTTATCCATCCATCCGTTCACTGATGAATTTCACTGCCCTTCATCCCGTTCATCTCGTTCATCTCATTCGTTCATCCCGTCATCAATCCACCCCCTCCATTTGTCCACGGGCAGCCATGGTGGAGTGTGAGCAGCCCAACAACTCGCTCTACACCTTCACGGGCAACCTGGTCATTGGCAAGCAGACCCTGCCCATTTCGCCCAACCAGATGCTGCTCCGAGTACGCACGCACGCACGCACGCCCTCTCTGCTCTCTCTGCCCCTTGCTCTCTGCTTCCCTGCTCTCTGCTCCCTTGCTCGCTCTCTCTCTCACCCTCCCTTGGATCTGAAACCCACTTGGCGTGTATCTCCTGCATTTCCCGTCTCTCCCGTCTCTCCTGTGGCTCATGTGTCTGTGCCTGGGTATATCTGTGCGTCTCCCCGTGTGTACCCGTGTGTTTCTCTGTGTGCAGGGCTGCAGTCTGCGCAACACCGAGTGGATTGTGGGTGCGGTCATCTTCACAGGCCATGAGACCAAGGTATGCATCGCGTCCTGGTGCATCATGCATCACGGTATACCCACCCACCCACCCACCCTCCTAACCACCCACCCAGACGAGGTGCCTTTGTGACTCGACTCTAAAGTCACACGGTATGCTTCGTTGTGTTGTGTTGTGGCGCACAAACCCACCCACACTCCGTTCCCCCTCCCTGTCCTCTGGTCCATAAGCGACACACAGGTGATGATGATGAATGCGATGGACGTTCCTTTGAACCGATGTTCCGTTGAACAGATGTTCCGTTGAACCGCCATCGAGCCCCTATTCGCCGCACGAGGTGTTCGATGGAGGCTCCCTGCAGCGAAAATCTCCCTCCTATCCTCCACCAACCGGCGTGCCTGTCGTGTCGTGCGGTGATGTGCGGTGTACGGTGGTGCATGCATGCAGGTGATGATGAACGCCATGGACGTGCCATCGAAGCGCAGCACGCTGGAGAGGCGCATGGACCTGGTCATCCTCATCCTCTTCGCCATCCTCTTCACCATGTGCCTCATCGGCGCCATCGCCAGGTGTGTGCGCACGCGTGCTGTGTGCTGTCCTGTGCGCTCTGTGCTGCGGTTGTCGGTCGCTCTCCTCCGTGCTGTGCTGTGCTGTGGGCTGTGTGCTGTGTTGTGTGCTGTGCTGTGGCCTGTGGGCTGCCTGTTTGTGTGTTGGCTGTGTGCTGGAGAGGCGCATGGACCTGGTCATCCTCATCCTCTTTCACCATGTGCCTCATCGGCGCCATCGATAGGTGCGCATTCATTCTGCCCGCTGTGTGCTCTGCTCCCTGTTTTCGCTGCTCTCGGTGCGCTGTGCGCTGTTCCCTCATCCCACAAATGTTGATTCGACTTTCCACTCGTCTCATCACTCAGCTCCTCCCGTTGCCCTCCCCCTCCACCCTTTCGCTGCAGTGCCCTCTTCCTGGACTACAAGGAGTGGTACCTGCAGCTTTCAGATGGTCTGATCTGTAGCTCACGAATCTTGCTGAGTCGCCGCTCACTTCGCCTCATCGCACGCAACTCCTCCCGTCCCCCCCCCCCTCCCCCCCCCCTCCACCCTTTCGCTGCAGTGCCCTCTTCCTGGACTACAAGGAGTGGTACCTGCAGCTCACGGACAGCCAGCCGCAGTATGACCCAAGTAACCCTTGGGCGGTATGTGGCCTCTCCTTGCTCCATCCGTGCACCTGCATGTGCCCTCTGCTGCGTGCATGTGCCCTCTTCTCTCCTGTCAATGCCAATGCCATGTGACATCATTGATGTGGATTCTGGCCTATTTGCATCTGTCCGCCTTTCCTTTCTCCCCGTTCTGCCGTCCCCTCTCTTCTCCCATCTCCTATCTCCTCCGTCGCTTCCCCACTTCCTTCACCTGTCTACCCTCCTTCCCTTATCTGTGACCAGCTAGGTCCTGTTGGACTTCGTGTGTGTATCTTCTCACCCGCCTCCCCTCCGCGCCCTCCTCTCTTTCCTTTGCGTTGCCCGCTCCCGACTCTCCGCCCCATCTGTGTGTGCAGGTGGGCTCGCTCACATTCCTCACGCTCTTCATCCTATACGCCACCATCATCCCCATCTCGCTCTACGTGTCCATCGAGGTCAGTCAGTCAGGGCCACAAGGGCGCATCCCCATTGGCAGAGCTGTGGAGGCACGCTGCCCATTTGAGAATTCTCAAAAGTGTCTATCGAGGTAGTCAGGGGCACATCCCCCTTGACAGTGCTGCAGTGAGGGCTATGCAATGATACGGTGAGGCTGTGTTGGTGGACTCGGCCAGAGTGGGGTCATTCACGTTACTTTCCTCCTCGCTGTTGCTTTTTCTCACGCGTCCCACATGCTTCCGCTGTAGCCGCCGTTCCATCTCTCTTGCATCCCTCGCACCCCCATCCCCGCGCGCATATGATAAAGTTTGTGCAGAGCATGCAGTTCATTTACAAGGACCTGCACATGTTCCACAGAGAGACCTGTTCGCTAACTTACCACCCATTTCCCTTCACTTGCTTCTTTCCCTCCTTCCCCTCTCCTCCTCACCTCCCCCAATCCCTCTTCCTTCCCTCCCTTCGCCCCCATCCACTCCCTCTTGCACACCCATTCTTGCGTGCAGATGATAAAGTTTCTGCAGAGCACGCAGTTCATTAACAAGGACCTGCACATGTTCCACAGAGAGACCTGTTCGCTCACATACCACCTATCCTTTCACTTCCCTCCTTCCTCTCTCCTCCCCTCCTCTCACACTCCCCCTTCCTCCCCTCCTCTCACACTCCCCCTTCCTCCCCTCCCCTCGCCCCCATCCTCTCTCCGGTGCACCTCCATCCTTGCGTGCAGATGATAAAGTTTGTGCAGAGCACGCAGTTTATCAACAAGGACCTGCACATGTTCCACAGAGAGACGCAGACGCCTGCCCTCGCGCGCACCTCCAACCTGAATGAGGAGCTGGGGCAGGTGGGTGGGTGGGCGCGCTGGGGCAAATGGGCGCCCTGGGGAAGGCGGGGTTGAAAAGAGCTCATCTGGAGGACATCTTTTCCCCTGATTCTGCCTCGTTGTCCCCTTATATTCCCCTCCATCCCTTCCTTCACCTGCTATACCCCCCTGTCCCCTGCTGTGCCCCTCTACCCCCCTCTACCTCCCTCTGCCCCCTGCTACTCTCCTCTATCCGCCTCTACCCCCTTACCCCGTGTGCTCGCCCCCAGGTTAAGTACATTTTTTCGGACAAGACTGGCATGCTGATGCGCAACACGATAGTGCTCCATCGGCTGTGCTCTGCTCAGTGCCATTCACCCCTGCCCACCCCCCCTTTGGCCCCCGCTACCCCCCGTTCCTGCCTCCTTATCCCCTTCTGTGCACCTCTCCCCCCACTCTACCCCCCTCTATTCCCTTCTATCCCTCTTTTTCCTTCTCTGCCCCGTTGCCCCCTGCTTCTCACCTCCCTCTCACCGACGCCCCCAGGTGGAGTACATATTCTCGGACAAGACGGGCACGCTGACGCGCAACACGATGGAGTTCTTCAAGTGCTCCATCGGTGGCACGCTGTACGGCACGGGCGTCACGGAGATTCAGCGCGCCATGGCGCTGCGCATGGGGCAGCCCATCCAGGAGGTGAGCGCGGTGGGGGGGAGGGAGAGAGTGGGGGGCAGTTTGTATGTAGAGATTCCTAGAGGTGAGGGTGGGGCAGGGCAGGGTGGGGAGGGGAGGGCGCGGGCGTCACGGAGATTCAGCGCGCGCTATGCGCTGCGCATGGGGCAGGCAGCTCATCCTTGCCTTTCTGCTTGTGCTTGTGCTGACCTGTGCTATGTGCTGCCTTCCTTGTTCCTTGTGCGGCCCTTTTTGTGCTGTGTGTGCTGTGTGTGCTGTGTGTGCAGGACCCTGCATCCATGTACCAAGACCGCAAGGCGTCCCAGGCTGAGGTGTCTCCTCTGGTGAGATACCCCGCCCGTCCCTTATCTCTTGCTCAAAGGAAAGTCACTTCTTTTATTACGAAGGGAAGGGAAGTTCTGCTATCCATTTCAGCATGTCTCACTTTTGATGCCCCACCACGTTCCCCCTGTTGACCTGTGCTGTTTCTCCTTGTTAGGCCATTTTTTGTTGTCTTATGACTGTCCTAATCTTGTCCGCTTCCCTCATCCCTCGTTGCTGCTCCTCCAATCTGCAGAAACCGACAGGGTCAGATGATCCGTTCAAGGACCGGGGGTTCAACTTTGATGACAAGCGCCTGCTGCGCGGCGCATGGCGCAACGAACCCACTGCTGAGATCTGCAAGGTGCGTGCTCTGCGTGCACACGCTGGGGAGGGTTGGGGGCTGGGATGGGGCAGAAGAAGAAAATGGATGGGTGAGGGGGTGGATTAGCGAGAGCTTGGAGGACAAAGGGTGGAGGAAGGATTGGATGGTAGGGGGACTCGGCCCATACTCATGAGCACATACTCATATCTGTCCGTGGATGCATGGAAGCATGAAGCAGGGATACAGGTGCATCTGCAAATTTTTTTGCATGGATACTTGCATTTACCAGCTTCTTTCTCCACTCCGCATCCCCTCATGACTCTGCTCGTGCTTCCGCTTCTCTCTCCCGTCCACTCCACTCCCTCCCTCTCTCTTCATGCCAGGAGTTCTTCCGGCTGCTGGCCATCTGTCACACGGTGCTGCCAGAGGGAGAGGAGTCCCCTGAGGAGATAGAGTACCTCGCTGCCTCGCCCGACGAGGCGGCCATGGTGGCTGCTGCCAAGAACTTTGGCTTCTTCTTCTACCGGTGGGTTGAGCGGGGCAGTTGAGGTGGGGGGCTGTCGAGGTGGGGGGCTGTTGAGCACTGGCTCGGGTGGCTTATGGTGGTTTGTTAATTCCACATTCCACCACCACAACCCCAACCTTCACTCACCCAACAAGCACGGGTGGTTCCTTGAGTGTGTCTCATTGGTTCTGCTTTCTTCCTTTTCCCTCCTCTCCAACCGTAACTTCCTCCTTCCAGGCGCACCCCCACGACGATCAAGGTGCGGGAGTCGCACGTGGAGCGGCTGGGGCGAGTGCAGGACTGCGAGTACGAGGTGCTGAACGTGCTGGAGTTCAACTCCATGCGCAAGCGCCAGTCCGTCATCTGCCGCTGCCCCGATGGGCGCATCGTGCTCTACTGCAAGGTGAGGAGGGGGAAAGGGGGAGGGGGGAGAGGGAGGGTTGGAAGACGTGATGGTTTATGAGCGTGGACCCACACTGAGACATCACTCAATTGTACCGGGAGCTGTTCCTTACCCTGTCGAGGTGACTTTTGAGTCGACTCAAAAGTTGCTTCAGAGAACGCGGACCCGCACTGAGACACCACTCAATACTACCGGGAGCTATTTCCTTACCCTGTCTCTCTTTCTTTTACTCCCTACTCCCTGCCCTACTCACTTCGGTTCGCTGACGTGACCATCTACGAGCGGCTCTCAGAGGAATCCAACCCGCACCTGGAGACCATACCTTTGCCTTCCCTCTTCCCTCTTCCCTCTTCCCTTCTGGCACCTGCTTCTCCCCCGTGCAGGGCGCTGATGTGACGATCTACGAGCGGCTCTCGGAGGATGAGAACCCGCACAGGGACGTGACGCGCGAGCACCTGGAGAAGTTTGGAGCGGACGGGCTGCGCACGCTGTGCCTGGCGTACCGCGAGCTCCCCCCCGCGCTGTACGAGGATTGGAACGAGCGCTTTATTCAGGCCAAGTCGGCCCTCAGGGAGCGGGAGAAAAGGCTGGATGAGGTGGCGGAGATGATTGAGAGGGATCTGATTCTGCTGGGGTGCACGGCGATCGAGGATAAGCTCCAGGAGGGAGTGCCGCAGTGCATTGAGACTCTGCAGAAGGCAGGGATTAAGATCTGGATTCTCACGGGGGACAAGATGGAGACTGCTATCAACATTGCATATGGTGCGTGTGGGGGGAGGGGTTGAGGGGGGACGAGGATAAGGAGAGGGAGGGTTGGAGAGGGGGTTGGCTGGGTTGGCAGTTTGGGGGGTTGAGGGGAGAAAGGGGAGTGGTCCCGGTTGAAAGTTGGGGTGTTGGACAGCATGAAGGGTTGGGGTGGGGGTTGATAGTTGGTTCGGATTGCTGTGTTGTTTCTGAATGTGTCCCTGATTGCCTTCGCACGCCCTTGAGTGTGATGCCCTGTTCTCCCTCACATGGCATCTCCTTCTGCTGCCCTTGCGCTTGCCATTGCTCATGCTGCTGCCTCGACCCTTTCCTCTGCCCTTGCCTGTGTGGCGGTATGCAGCGTGCATGCTGCTCAAGAACCAGATGAAGCAGTTCATCATCAGCAGCGAGACGGACATCATTCGAGAGGTTGAGGAGCGGGTATGTTCTTCCTTCCCTGTGCGCTCGCTGTCCTTTCTTGTTCTCTTTCTCTTTCTTTCTCTTCCGCCTGCCCTGTGTTCTCCCTCCTTGCTGCTGCTGCTGCTGCTGCTGCTGCTGCTGCTGCTGCTGCTGCTGCTGCCTGTCGCTTGCTGGTCCTTTACTCATTCTCCCGCTCTCCTTCCCCATTCCCCGGTTTTCTCCTCCACTCTGCATCCTCTTCCCCTCTTTTTCCCCTCCTGCTCCCCTCCCGTTTCCCTCGCTCCTCCCCCAGGGCGACCCAGTGGACACGGCGAGGGTGATCTGCGAGTCGGTGTTCCAGCAGCTGAGGGACGCCATTCAATGCGCCTGGCACCCTTTCCCTGTTTCCCCACTCCCTTCCTTTTCTTTTTGGGTTTCCCTCCTGCGCCTCCCCTGCTCCCCCTCCCCCAGGGCGACCCAGTGGACACAGCAAGGGTCATCCGCGAGTCAGTGTTTCAGCAGCTGAGGGACGCCATTCGGCAGGCCGTGGTGATCGACCGTGAGGGGTACCCGTGTGCGCTGGTGATCGACCGTGTGTGAGGGATAACCCAATGTAGCACAAGGGATGCTCCACACCTGACACCCTTCCCCCGCTCCCTGCATTTTTCCCTCCTGCTTCCCTCCTGGCCTGGTCCCTTCCTCTTTCCCTCCTGTGCTGCGCCCGTCCTTCCCTTCTGCTTCTTCCATTCACCCAGGGCGACCCAGTGGACACAGCGAGAGTCATCCGCGAGTCAGTGTTTCAGCAGCTGAGGGACGCCATTCGGCAGGCCGTGGTGATCGACCGTGAGGGGTACCCGTGTGCGCTGGTGATCGACGGGCGGTGCCTCATGTACGCCCTGGACCCGCTCATGCGCGGCACACTGCTGCAGCTCGGGATCATCTGCAAGGCCGTTGTGTGCTGCCGCGTGTCGCCCCTGCAGAAGGCACAGGTGAGAGGGAGGAGGGAAAGATTGGGAGGGGTGAGTGAGGGGGTGTGAGGAGGGGAGGGAGGAGAGGAGCGAGGAGTGTGGGAGGTTGAGGGAGGAGAATTGAGAAGGGTTGGTGAGGTAGAGGGATGAGACTGAGGTGGGACACATCATGAAGTATGGTGGTATGCTTGGCCTCGCTTCTTCCCATTTTCAACCTGTCACCATCCTGTCAATGCCCCCGCTACGCATCTCTCATGTCTGAACTAGGTTGTTTGTATCATCCCCCTCCCACTCCCCCGCTCCCCATATCTTGCCCCTCAGTATCCATTCCCTTCCATGTGATCCTTTTCTCGTCCACCCGCTCTCTAGTGCACCATCTCTCGAGCCGATTCAAAACCCCACCTATCTTTCCTCCCTCCCCCCCCCCCCTCCTCCACTCCCCTTACCCTCCCTCCGTCCCCCCCCCCCAGGTGACGGCCCTGATGAGGGACGGGGCAGGCAAGGTGACGTTGAGCATAGGCGACGGCGCCAACGACGTGAGCATGATCCAGGCGGCGCACGTGGGGGTGGGCATCAGCGGGCAGGAGGGCATCCAGGCAGTGCTCGCGTCTGACTTTGCCATTGCGCAGTTCCGCTTCCTCACCGACCTGCTGCTTGTGCACGGCCGCTGGTCCTACCTCCGCCTCTCCAAGGTTCGGCCCCTCTCCCCTCCTCCCTCCGCTGCTCCTCATGAAAGCACGAATTAAAGACTCGCTTCCTCACTGACCTGCTGCTTGTGCACGGCCTGCCGACTGTTGATCCGCCTCTCTAAGGTGGGTGTTGTTCGGGCTCTCTCCTCTCCTGTTGATCGGGGCTTTCTCTCCTCTCCTCCCCCCGCCTCTCACACGCTGAGACATGCATAGAAGGTTTGCAAGCTGACCTGGTGCCCATCCACGGCCTGCCTCCCTCCACCTCCCTCCTTCCTTTCCCCCGTTCCTCCTCCCCCCTCCCCCCCATCAGGTGGTGGCGTATTTCTTCTACAAGAACCTGGCCTTCATGCTCACGCTTTGTCCTCCCCTCCGTCCTCCCCGTTCCCCCTTTCCCCCCGCTCCTCCTGCCCGCACCCCTCAATCAGGTGGTGGCGTATTTCTTCTACAAGAACCTGGCCTTCACGCTCACGCTCTTCTGGTTCAACTGCTTTGCGGGCTTCTCAGGCCAGCGCCTGTACGACGACTGGTTCCAGTCCGCATTCAACGTGCTCTTCACCGCGCTGCCTGTCATTGTGCTCGGCCTCTTCGAGCAGGTACGCGTGTGTGTGTGTACCGTGTGCATAACATGGTGATTGTTGTCGTTTGAGGGGCCTGCGTTCCCCTCCCTCCCCTCCCTCCCCTCCCTCCCCTCCCTCCCCCCTCCCTCCCCTCCCTCCCCTACCTCCCCTCCTGCCCACCCCCCTTCTTTGTTCCTGCATTTCCCTCTTCCCTCTTCCCCCCTCTTTCATGTACCTATGCTTCTCCTCCTTTCGTCCGCGCGTCCTCCCCCCTTCTTCCTCCCTCTCCCTCCTCCCTATCCCCACTCCCCACACCCCCTCTCCCCCCATACGCCCTCCATGCACACTCCCTCCCCGCTCTCCAATCTCCCCCTCCCCTGTCTCCTTGCAGGACGTGGATCGCCGGCACTCCAAGCTGTACCCGCAGCTGTACCGGGACGGTATCAAAAACCGCTTCTTCACGTGGGGCGTGCTCGGCATCTGGCTCTTCTTCGCCGTCTACCAGTCCCTCATCTTCTTCTTCTTCACTGCGGTTCCAGGCTCCAACTCGCAGGGCAGCAGCGGCCTCATGTTCGGCCTCTGGGATATCGGTGCGTGGGGGAGTTTGGAGTCGATTTTGAGACTGTTTTGAAGTGGTTTGGATGTAGCGTGCATGGGAGTGTAAGGTGGGTGGAATGCGAGGGGGAAGGATGGGGGGTGAGGGTGGAGGGAAAGTTGGGGGGTGCACTTAGAGGTTAGTCGAAGGTCACAACCTAGAGGTTAGTGGAAGGTCACTCCCTTTATGCTGCACTCTCCCCTACTCCCCTTGCTTCATCCTCTAGGCACGATGACATACGCAGCGCTGATTATGGCGATCAATGTGCGCTCCTGCTGATGGCGAGCGACTTTATGATGCAGTTGCATCCCTTCCTCTTTTTCCTCCCCTCCCTTTCCCCCTCCTTGTCCCCCTCTTTTCTCCACATTTGCCCGCGCCCTTGTCCTCTTATTCGCTTCCCCACTTTTTCCCTCCCTCCCTTCTCTCCCACCCCGGTTCCGCCACCCTCCAGGCACGATGACATACGCAGCTCTGATCGTGGCGATCAACGTGCGGCTGCTGATGGCGAGCGACTTCCTGACGCAGTGGCACTGGGTGAGCGTAGTGGTGTCCATCGCGCTCTGGTTCGTGCTCATCCTCATCTACGACGCCATCCCCTCCTCCACCACCTCCTCCTACTCCTCCCAGGTGGGTTGCTTGACTGTGTTGGGGGGTATGGTGGGGTTGGGTTGGTGGAAAGGAAAGGAGGAAGGGGGGAGAGAATGGGGGTTTTGGGGAGTGGGATCTGGGGGTTGGGGTTTGGGGAAGGGGGTGTTGGGAACAGGGAGAGTGGGTATGGGGGATGAGGAAGGGAAGGGCACTGGGTGAGCGTGGTGGTGTCCATCGCGCTCTGGTTCGTGCTCATCCTCATCTACGACGCCATCCCCTCCTCAACTACCTCTTCTTACTCCTCCCAGGTGGGTTGCTTGAGGGTCAGGGGATGGGGTGGGGGCGAGCGGGTGCGGGGGTGTGGAAAGGAGGAAGGGGGGAGAGAGTGGGGGTCTTCGGAAAGGGGGATTTGGAGAAGGGGGGGGGTTGGGGAAGGCGGTTTGGGAACAGGGGAAGTGGGAAAGGGGGGAGTTGAGAAGGGCAGTGGGTGAGCGTGGTGGTGTCGATCGCGCTCTGGTTCGTGCTCATCCTCATATAGCCATTCCCTCTTCAACCACCTCCTCCTACTCCTCCCAGGTGGGCTGCTGCAGTGGGTTGTGGGGTGTGGATTGGGGGTCCTGCTGGTGTGTGCTCGTAGGGGGTTAGGGAGTGGGGATGGGGAATGTGGGGAAGGGGAGTGTGGGGAGCGAAGTGGGGAAGGGGAATGGGGAACAGGAGTGGGAAAGGGGAATGGAGAAGGGGAGTGGGGAAGGGACAGTTGTTGTGACTGGGAGTGGAACATGTATGGGTGGTGCACATGCCCCGCTCTTCTCATTCTTAGCTGCTTCCCTTCGCTCTACCCCTCCTTTTCCGGATGCCACTTTTTCTGGCTCTCCTTCTCCCCGCTTCCCCCTCCCCCTTCCATCTCCCCCTTCCCTCTCCGCCCTTTCCCATCTCAACTTTCCCGATAATTTTTTCTGATATTGCTTACTGAATCCTTTCTCTCGTACTCTCTCTCTCTCTGCCTTTCTCTGCCACCCTGTACCACTCTTTGCCTCTCCCCCCCTCTGTGCCATGTCGTTGCACCTGAGCAGTCGAACCAGTACTGGGTGATCTACACGGTGATGGGAACAGCCTATTTCTGGCTCACGCTCCTCCTCGTGCCCATTGCTGCTCTCCTCCCTGACTTCCTCTACAACGGGTCAGTGCCCTGCCTCCCCACTTTGCCTCTCCGCGTTGCCCTCTGCAGTGCCCTCTGCCATGCCCTCTGCCGTGCCTGGGGCCATTGCTTGGCCTTCCCTGTCCTCGGACGGTGGCTCAATTGCCCCTTACGCACCCTTTCGATGCATAACCCCCCCTGCCTTACATCTCTCCCACCAGGCTGCAGCGGTGGTTCTCCCCGTACGACTATCAGATAGTGCAGGAGGACCTCAAGTTCCACTCCAAGACGGATGAGTTTGCAGAGCGAGACCGCCAGCTTGAGCTCGAAGCCATGACCGTCGAGCCGCCCAAGAGGTGCATGGGAAAGGGGTTTCGAGTTTTACAATTGTATTTTTTTCATTTATTTATACGTACATCTTTCTGGCCTTGTAGTGACTTGCTTGCCAGTTTTGATGATTTCTTCTGCCACAATTATCACCTCTCCTTCCCCCTTGCTCCCCCCGCCCTTTTTCATCCTTGCTCTCCACCCTTCTCTCAAGCCTTTCCCTCCCGATCCTCTTGTAGCACTTACCGTTTCATGTGTTCCCTCCCAATCTTCTGCTCCTCCTGCTCCTGCTTCTGCTCCTGTTTCTCCCACCCCCCCCTGTTGCTGCCCATCACCCGTCCTGTGACTGTTGCAGGCTGGAGCGCGAGGAGATTCGCAGCCAGGCCATGGCGTCGCTGCCGCGCCTCACCTCCAAGAAGCACACAGGCTTTGCCTTTGACACGCCCGGCTTCGAGTCCTTCTTTGCCAAGCAGGTGCGCTGCACATTGAACCGCTTGCATTGGGCTGGGTGCATCGAATACCTTGAATGCACCGAATGCACTGTATGTGTCGGCTGTACAAGTCGGTCGTCGTTCCTCCTCATGCTTTCTTTCCAAAAGATTGACTATCACCCACGGGCACCTCCCCCGTGCACTCCCCCTCTCCCCCCTGCCCCTCCCCTCCCTCACCCGGTTAGTGCCTCTTCTGCTGCTTCTCTTTTTGCCTCTCCTTCACATTTCTCTTCTCCCTGTCCATGCGTGTGCTCCAATTACAGGAGGGAGTGGACATTGTGGGACGGGCGTGGGACGTGGCAAGGAGGGCAAGTGCACAGCGCAGGCGCGCAGCAGAGCTCTCGGAACTCCCCACCATGCAGCGGTTCCCTGCCGAAATGCGACGCCCAACTCGTGACGCTCAGCCGCCTGCTGCGGTCACCCTTGCCGCTGCTGCTAGCGCTGCTGGTGTTGGATCGGCATCGTCGTCTAGGATGGGAGAGGGGAGTGGAGGAGGAGGAGCGGGACAGTGGGGAGGAGGGTCGGTGGGAGGGAGTGTGGAGTGGCCCCCTGCGGCTCCGGCAGGAGGGAGTGGGAGTGGGGTGCAGATGGGTTCGATGGGGCGTCGGGGGAGGGATGACGATCAGGATTTGTTCTTTTGAAGCGTGGGTGGGTGACTAAGTGTTGGATTGGAATGGAGAAAGATGTGATGATGTATGGGGGAGTGGGGTTGAGTTGCAGCTGAACATGGAGGCAAACTCACATGCCCATTTCAAGATACGTCGAAACGGAAATTATGGCTGGTTGGGTGAAGGTGACCCTTGACCCATGTTACACTGTTACGCTAGTGGGCGAGAGGTACTGGTGCTAGACTGGTACACTTTTATGCGATGCTATACTATTTAGATAGGAGAGGGAATGTGTCGTTCCAGCTCATGATACGCAATGCTTCAATAGACTAGTGACCTAAATGCTAGTTTCGTGATTATTTTCCAGGAGATTCTTTGATAATTGGATCATGACGGTATAGTTGCTTTTGTTTAGACACTTCCATACATCCATGTAGCGCATGACTGAGCAAAATGTTGTATTTTGTAATTGCAATACATGATTTATCAACATTGGCTGGTTCGTGGTTTGCTGTTTAGACACTTCCAGAAGAGCGGACCAGACTGAGGGCGCGTTCCTGGCTAGTGTCAAGCTTCCGGTCATCCGCGGATGACCGGAAGTTGGACCCACTTTGGGCCATCCGAGACCAACTTCGGGTCTTCCGGCCAAAAATTGCCCCTGTTCCCGGAAGACCTGAAGTTCGACAGGAAGTTTGACCCAAAGCTTCGGGCCTTCCCGGGAAGGCCCGAAGCTTGACACCCTGGGCCAGGAACGTTCCCTAAGCAGCCATGAGTTCTATCCAGTCCAGAAACAGTTGAAATTGAAGGACTTCCAATCGTCGGGGCTCGTAAGCTGTGTGGCCGCACACCGTGCGCTTCAGCGACACATGCATTTTTCAGGTCATCGTACTTTTTCTCACCTACTTTCGGGCTGCAAGCAAACTACTTTCTGGACGTGTTTTGGCGGGCAACGCTCTGAAGTGGTGGGAACGCTGGTTCAACGTACTTCCACGAATAAACAATTTAATTTACGTTATTTGTTTACGACATTCGTCTGTGTTTCTGTTGTGTACCCGGTTCAGGCTGATTTGCTGATCCGCGCTGAACACGGCGGGCCAGCGTCCAGGTGTTTCGCGGCGGTGCGAACCCCAGGTGGTGAGTCGCCGTCCGATCTTTGCGGCGTCGCAGCAACACCGCCCATCTCGGTCAATAAATTGGGGGTACATTATATAGGGAGCACTGAATAGGGGAGATCCAGATATAGTAATTACCCAGTGGATAACAAAATCGATCAGCGTGCGAAACGCTCAAGCCCAGACTTCGAATGGTGTTCCCAACCTCAGAATGCAACCGTATTGCACTTTGGACTCTGATACAGCTGGTGCAGTATTGTTAGGTTCTGGCTCGACACATCGGTCAGATGGTCTGCTTTCTGTAAAAGTACGGGCACTTTCTGAGAGGGGAAACTTTTGATATTAAATCAATTGACAGGCCTGATATGGGCCAGATAGATTAGGTTGGAGAATGAGCCGGGTGAAAGGGCAGGTCATACATATCCGTTCGGAGCTTGTTTAGCACGGTTCGATACGCTACAAAAAGGTGAGAGACGGTTCTTTCGCCGTTTTCGACCATTGCGCACCAGACTGAATCCTATAAAAAACTGAACAAAAAAATGACTCGGCCTAAATGCTGGAAAGCACGCAAGCTTCGTTTCCAACTTTTAAAGCACATCTCGCTTCATTCTAGCACAAAAGCCCGTATCCCACAACCAGACTTCTCTCGTTCGTTTCTTACCCCGAACACAAACTGTTTCTCAACAGCTTTTGTCGCTCACTACACTCGCTTCATCTCGACTGGATTTAGAATAGCCGCCGTATGGGGGCCCCTGTGAAACGACAGCTTGTGGTCCCTCTCATACTCTCTCTCATCCTCGGCTCTTCCAGTGCTCATGCCTGGCGACGAGCGCTGCTCAGCGACATCAAAGCGTCGCCGAGCGACACTAAGGCGTCGCCGAGCGACGATGTTGTCTCGTGGACGGCGACATCCACGAACGGGCCCAACGCGCCTCGCGAAATGCTCGAAAAGGCTCATACGCTCGCCAAAAGCGTGCCGAGTTCTCTCGTAATTTCTGGCGCTGCTACTGCCACACCAGCATCCGCATCTGCACACGCGTCTGAAGTCACTACTGACGGCGCTCCTTCCGCTCCTCATAATTCCGCAAATGGCGGCGCTGCAGGATCCGGAAATGCCAAGCCCCGTCGGCCGGGAAAAAAGCGTGGAGGAAAAGGAGCAGCAATTGGCGCCTCGTTAAACGCAGCCAGCGGCAAAAAAGGAAACGCATTCTTGATCCCTGGTTTCAGTCTCAAGGGCTGGAAGCGCGGCGGCCGCGGCGGCAAAGGCAAGTCAAAAGGGAACAACCAGCGAGGTGGCAGTGGCGGTACTGACGGCGTGAATCCCGGCGAGGATGATGGCGCGGACGGTGGGATTGAGGGAGAGGAATCTGGAGACGACGAAGCAGGTGATGGTAATGCTGGCGATATTGGTGGTGAGAATGGTGCTGACGATTGCGGTGACGATGGCGGTGACAACGGTGGTGCCGACTCTTTGAATGGCTGTTCTGATGCTGGTGATGATGGTGGTAACGGTGATGATGCTGGTACCGGTGATGATGCTGGTACCGGTGTTGATGCTGGTGCCGGTGATGATGCTGGTAATGGTGACGATGGTGGTAACGGCGATGGAGATTTCGGTAGTGGTGATGGTGACTTTGGTGATGGTGACTTTGGTAGCGGTGATGGTAGTGCTGATGATAGCGGTGATGGTAGTGCTGATGGTAGCGGTGATGGTAGTGCTGATGATAGTGGTGATGGTAGTGCTGATGATAGCGGTGATGGTAGTGCTGATGATGGCGGTGATGGTAGTGCTGATGATAGCGGTGATGGTAGTGCTGATGGTAGCGGTGATGGTAGTGCTGATGGTAGCGGTGATGGTAGTGCTGATGGTAGCGGTGATGGTAATGTTGATGGTAGTGCTGATGGTAACGGTGATGGTAGCGGTGATGGTATTGCTGATGGTAGCGGAGATGGTAGTGCTGATGCTAGCGGTGATGGTGCTGGTGGTGGCGGTGGCGGCGGCAGCATCGACATTGCAGTAATCCTGGAGGAGCACAACAAGGCACGGCAGGCAGTGGGTGTACCCGACCTCGCATGGGACGACGGAGTCGCCGCATCGGCACAGGAGTGGGCGAGTGAACTGGTGTTGCTCGGGTGCCCTCTGGAGCACGGCGGAGCAGAGGGACTCGGGCAGAACCTCTACTGGCTGTCACCTGCGGCGCTCACCCCACAGGAGGACCGTGGAGCGGTGCAGTCATGGGTAGGCGAGAAGGCGGACTGGACTTACAGCCCCATTCCCGAGGGGTGTGCGGAGGGTAAGATGTGTGGGCACTACACGCAGGTGGTGTGGCGTGATACCACTCATGTTGGCTGCGCCTCTGCTAAGTGCCCTGATGGCTCCGGCATGTGGGTTTGCGACTACTCGCCGCAAGGGAATTTAGACGGTGAAACTCCTTACTAAGCCGCAGCGAGTTCACGCGGGAAAAGGGGTGTGCATGATATAAGCAGAGTTCATGAACTGAGTGCATAGCACTTATACAGTACACCATCCAGCCAGAGCAAACCATCATGCAGGGCCATCCCAGATTTGCAGGAAATTTTTGTTGTACATTATTGTGATATTGTATCATCTGGATATGATCGCATATAAAATAATGTTCAGAATACGTCCGCCTCAAGTTTGAGAACAAGCAGGTGTCAGACTCAGAACTAGTCTGACAGATTGTGAGTCAACACCAGAGAGAAGGCGGACATCAGACCCACCACAAAGAGGTCGTGTGAAAAAAGTTATAATCACGTGACAAGACAGACAAGTATCTCATGGCCTTCGCACAAGGTTCCAACAACATGCCCCAAAAATCATGCATCGAAACCACACATGCCATCACATTCGTTCCCAATCTGCCACAGACGAATTCATACAGATACCACAAACACGGTACTGCCAATGCCCACCCACCCACACTTTCAAGGACTCCTCCTATCCACCAAAGGGCTTCGCAACATCTCCCGTTTCACCGGCAGCACCCTAGAAGGGAGTTTGGCCAACAAAGTTACCCGGGGGCGAGTAATTGCACACCCACATGCCGGCGCCATCAGGGCACTGTGCAGAGCCACAGCCGACATGAGTGGTATCCCGCCACACCACCTGCGTGTAGTGTCCGCACATCTTGCCATCCGCACACCCATCAGGAATGGGGCTGGGGGTCCAGTCCGCCTTCTCCTCCACCCATGATTGCACCGCCCCACGGTCCTCCTGCGGGGTCAGCCCTGCAGGTGACAGCCAGTAGAGGTTCTGCCCGAGACCCTCTGTTTTGCTGTGCTCCAGAGGGCACCCTCTTGAAGCCAGCTGGTTGGCATAGTCCTGTGCCGTTGCTGCCACATTGTCGTCCCATGCGAGGTCCGGCACACCCACTTCCTGCCGTGCCTTGTTGTGCTCCTCCAGGATTCCGGCGATGTCGATGCTGCCGCCGCCGCCACCGCCATTGTTACCGCCGTCGCCAGCACCGTTACCACCGTCACCAGCACCACCGTTGCCGCCGTCACTAGCACCACCGTTGCCGCCGTCACTAGCACCACCGTTGCCGCCGTCACCAGCATCACCGTTACCACCATCACCAGCACCACCATCACCAGCACCACCGTCACCGGCACCACCGTTACCACCATCAGGGCAGCCATCTCCATTAGAGTCACCACCATTATAGTCACCACCGTTGTAATCACCACCGTTGTCACCACCGTTGTAATCACCGCCATTGTCACCACCGTTGTAATCACTGCCGTTGTCACCACCGTTGTAATCACCGCCATTGTCACCAGCGTTGTAATCACCGCCATTGTCACCAGCGTTGTAGTCACCGCCATTGTCACCAGCGTTGTAATCACCGCCATTGTCACCAGCGTTGTAATCACCGCCATTGTCACCAGCGTTGTAATCACCGCCATTGTCACCAGCGTTGTAATCACCACCATTGTCACCAACGTTGTAATCACCGCCATTATCACCAGCGTTGTAATCACCGCCATTATCACCAGCGTTGTAATCACCGCCATAATCACCCGCTGCGTTAGTGTGTGCAGATGCCATCCTCATACCCCCATGATTCACACCATCACCATGCTGATAGCTGCGGAGGTTATTAGCTCCCTGCGCATCATTTCTGTTGCTGCCACCATTCCTCCTGTGGATTTCCACGTCAGAAGCTCCTGCCATGCGAAATTCCCCGCGCCTGTCGCTGTTCAAGTTCCAGAATGGAGGCGCCAGCGCCCCGTTATAAGCACCACCGTTGTTGCGCTGAAAGTTCCACCCCACTGGCGCGCCCCTGCTGCGGTCGCCGCGCGAGCGGCGCTCGTGGCTGGAGCGGTGATGGATCGCCACGTCGTCGGCGCTGGCTGCGCGGAATGCGTCGTTGATGGCGACTGATCCGCCGTTCCCACCACCGTCATGGCGAGAAGCACCATCTCGACGCTGATTCGCTGCTGATTCATGTAGTTCGCTATTTCCAAATCCGTGAGAGCCGTGATTCACGGAGTTACGTGCAGCGCGAGAAGCGCCAGGGGTTGGGGCGTATTGGACGGTGTGACGGGCGGCGTGAGGGGCGGCGTGAGGGGCGGCAGTTGCCACGCGACTGGCAGTAGCGTGCTGATTCCAACTTGGAGTCGCGTGGGAACCAGCGCCGCCGCCGCTGGCAGAAAACATGAGGGGCTCTGACACCTCATGCGTGAAAGTCGCAGCCTTCGCGTGAATCCCGCGAGGCGCGTTGGGCTCGTTCGTAGTATATGCCCCTGCATTCCAGGAAACAGCATCTTCGTCGTCGCGGACTAGAGCACGTCGCCAGGGATGAGCGGCCGTGCAAGTGCCGATGACGAGAAAGAGAAGGAGAGGAACCGCCGCAAGTTGTGGTTTTACCAGGGTCCCCATCGAGTCGCAATAGATGCAAAATCAAAGGAGTACGCAGTTTTCGGGGAGATCGGCAAGACCAGCTGTTGGGAGTGCTGGAACGTTGGTTTGTGTTGTCGGGCAATCCTGGCTGCTCAATTTGTACCAACTCTGGTCCGACATGCGACTAGTTCAGGGGTTCTATTTCAGGCGATGGTGCCGGGTTACCGTGTCGCGTGGCGTGGTGTGAACGGGAAGGGACGGGGTCACGAGGAAGCGTTCGTGAATAGAAGTCAAAATTCCTTCGAAGTCAACGCTGGAGTCTGGATTTAGCGCCGCGGGTCCGATAATACGAAGGTGACAAGGTTTCGGACCAAACAATATGTTACGAGCTCTGACACAGAATGGTAAAAATAGTCAATGAGGGCGGAAACCAACTAGAACGTAAGGTAATGTTCAGAGATTCTTTACACAAATGTAATGAGTGAAGCGCGGATTGCACAAAGGGGTAAAACAAACTTTGGAGAAAAGGCATATAACTATCTATATATACATATACATCCATATGTATATATTGGTGGGCCGGGAATCGAATATTGGCAAGGCAAATTAGCAGGCAGCTGAGCATCATGTGTACATACTTATAATGGTGGATCATACGTGGACCTCATAACGCAGATACGCGATAAAGGATTCCATGCCACCCATTCTCGAAGAATCTGCGTCTGGAAGTCCCAGTGGTGATGCGTTGCAGCATTGTATGGTACAATTTTGCTGAGGATCTGATCAGAATCTCCTCTCGCGCTAGCAGACGGACAGTTTCATGCTTCGAAGCTCAACAACGGAGTCCCGCCCCGCCCGCGCTCGACTTGAGTTGTACTGTACAGTAGTGAAGCTGACTAGTTTGTTGTGGCCCTCCCTCACCCACCCACTTGATAGACTCCACCCAGCTGCAAAATGTGCGCGGCATACCCCAAATCTCCAGGGTGTTTGGTTTCCATCTTGAAAATGGAGGGGCTAGAACTTCGTTGACACAGTTCCGTGTGTTCTTTCATCGAGCCACGAGGTTCTTGTTCAGGACATATCAACATTAGTGCAAATGAGCAAGGTTGAATGGGTGTGAAGGCAACTACAAGTGGGCAAATACATCATGCAGAGAGGATCTCGAAGGGTGCAGTGAGGCAGCCCTCTCAACGCGGTACAATCGTTGCAGCCCTTTTAATAATGGTAGCCACAACAAAGTCACTTCACTTCCCTTCTTCAAATACTCCACCTGTTCGGCGGTTTCCGCTTCGGCACGAATCGCATACTGTGTACGTACAGAATCGATCGAGGAAGCTGTCAATAGATACTATTTCACAAATCAGCTTTGTCGCACAAACGATAGTCCTAATTAGTTTGTCCTCAACACGTCAGCTGGCCCCACCCAGCCACTACCAAGCCGTAACGGTGAGCGGCGAAATCAAGGGATTTCCGTTTTGACTGTTGGTGACATGAATGGATCTCTTATTTTAAGGACCTCGCTTGGCGTTCAAGCTAGCGGAATACCGTGTGTATCTAGACCAGCTGCCCAGTTGAGAGGTGGTTTTGGCGGTACAGTAGATAGAAGTGCTATACAGCGGAACCATTTCGAATCTACGATAGATGTGTGTCCTCCTTCAGCCGAAGGAAACAGAGTCGACGCTTCCAAGCATAACGTTCTGTTTCGCCACAGAACGTTCATGTTTAGGCGGCTTTTCGTTGACATTGTCGCCGCGGTAACTAAAGAGGTGCCGAGTCCCCTTGCGATACTAAAGATCTTCACTTCCCCTGTCATTCAACCATTCAAACTACAATTCTTGTTCAAAACCCGTTGACACCCTCCAAGGAAGTCATTTGAACAACGTCGCGAGTATCATGTCTCCGAATAGCAGCCCTCGCTCAAAGTCACCAGCTCCAATGGAAGGACACGCACACGCGAGCCTGAAAAAACACATGATGTCGGCCCTCTCCCGTTTTTCGCGCAAATCGGCTCAATCTCAGTCCTGCACCGAGCGCTCCTGCAAACCCTGGCCAGGCGTCGAAGAAACACCCCTAACCCCTCGACAGACAAGCCAGAAGCCAGACCGCGCCGAGTCAATGCTATCATCTCCTCCGAAAGCTCCTCGAAAATTATCACCAACGAAGATCCTCACTTCACCTAAAGGCGCAGCGCAACTCCCCGCGAGTCCTCCTGCGGGGAGTGTTCGCCCTCGGCCCTCACCCAAAGCAGCGTCTGCTCGCACCGTGATGCGGAAATCGATTTCCGATGACAGCATTCCTACCAGTTCCGGTGAACTACTGTCAAGTGATTTTACGTTTTCAGGAGGCGTTACCGAGTTCCCGCCCACGAGTCCCAATCGGAGTCGCGGCGACTTCCACCGTCGAGTCGCGTCGGCGGGTATGGAGTCAATACCGAAAGAAGACTCCAGCGCATCTCCCGTGGCCGTCGGTTCCGGTGTACGCGTCGCTAATCAAGGGCCAGCCGCTGCTGCGCTGCCGTTCGTTGCAAATGCGGATAGTACGTCAAGAATATCGAGTGCCAGCTCAGGGAACAGGGCAACGCGTCAAACGACGCAGCGCGCGTCGCCAGCCGTATTTGACAGGCTTTCACCTCCGTCGCCTAGGGCTGAACCTGTACCGAGGCGGCGCGTAACAAGCATGGATATGACAGTCTCAAGGCAGTTCCCCATGGCGTCGCCTCCCCGTATGCAACAGCCGCCGCGGCAGCAGCAGCAGTACCAGAGCCAAGAGGACCCCGTGAAATCGCCCAGCCCATCCCTTTCTCCACGCCATTCAGTTGACAGTAACCCAGCATTCCGCTTCCGTCACCTCTCGCAAGCATCGCTTCTTGAGTACGAGCTATCACAACAAGCGATGCAGCAAGCTCCTGGCGCACCAACCGCGCCCGAGTCGGATTCATGGATTCCTCTTGCCTCTCCTGTTTCGCGGCCGCCAACTGGTCGCAGTTCCGAGGTTACCACGAGCACCAAGACTTCCCGTAGCAGTCTGTGCGCGAGTCCCCCGCCCACAAATCGGCACTGCACCAGTCCACGAGAAACTAGCCCCAGATTGTCGAAGTCTAAAGTTGTCGCCAACGCTTTCGCGAATGATACTAGCCCTCGCACTCGTCAGGAAGGAAAGCGCAACGTCAGCCCAGCCTCACCTCGTGCACTGACAGCAAGCTGTGCGATGACGATGGCGAAGACTAAACGTGTTACATTCATGAACTATGTGGAGGTTTTTGAGTATATGTCTTAGATATGAGGTGTGAGATTTCAGGACCTCAAATAGCATAGGTGGTTGTCTGTCTAGGATGACCTGCTTTACCAGTACATATGTAATAGCATAATATTATATATCTAACTTGACAAGCCCTCTCAAGTTGGTCCAAATGGTGACCAATGCACGCATGAAATGTTGAAAGTAATCCAACCAGAACCCTCGTCCTGGAAAAAAAAGAGTCTTATGAACAGCAGTTTCTTCTCAACATAAGGTGGCCCGCCAGGCCAAGAGAGCAGCCCCTAGTGCGGCCTCCACCTGGAAATGGAACAGCCCCCACAAACATTTACGATGAAAAAAACCTCCAAAAAAACAAAACATGTATCCAGTGTTCCCAGAAACAACATAAAGGCCATTACCTGCCCAAAGAGCATGCATACCTGGGGCGGCTTGACTACAGCAGAGGGCAGCAGCATGCGGATTTGGTGGTCAAACATGCGCGGGATGTTGGGCGGCGCACTGTCTGTGAGCACACCGCCTGCTGTGACTATAAGGAACGGTTGGCGCGACTCTGTGGGTGCACATGCAAGTGGTGCAATAGTGGGGAAGGCATTTTGCACGGGGTAGTATTTTAATCGAGTAACTGTGAGGGATTGAGTGGCGGTGCACTTCGGTGTGATATGATGGGCATGGGAATGAACACAAGCAGAGCAGCCAAGAAAGCACCACCAGTCTACCCAATAGTAGACTCGGAATACCATCCTAAAGACACATGAACCAGCAAGCCTTACCTGGGAAAACCTTCACCTGGGAACCCTGGTCCGCAGGCAACAGCCTATTATTGCTTGCGCCAGCTCACATTCTTTTTTCAGCAAGCGAGCCTCAAACACACGAGCCCCACCTGGGAAGCCGAGCCGGCAGGCAACAGCATGAGCGGAAAGTGCCATCTCCTCCACTCCATCTGTAATGACAGCCATGGCTGCTGCATCGCCCGCTGCTGCACATGCTCGCACACAGGGAAAGAGCGCTGCTATGCGCGCCCATGCGGGATCAGAGTAGGCCCAGCTGATGGGGGAGAAAGGGGGGACCGGGGCGGAAAGGGGGGAGAGGGAAGGGGAAAGGGGGGAGGGCGCAGAGGGGTGGAAGGAGGGGAGTGGGAAGAGATGTGGAGAGGCGGGGGAAAAAGTGAGAAGACGCAGGGAAGACGTGAAAGTGCCATCTCCTCCACTCCATCTGTGATGACAGCCATGGCTGCTGCATCGCCCGCTGCTGCACATGCAAGCACACAGGGGAAGAGCGCTGCTATGCGCGCCCATGCCGGGTCCGAATAGGCCCAGCTGATGGGGGGAAGAAAGGGGGGGGAAGGGATTAGGAGGGAGGGAATGAGGGGGAGAGGGAGAGGGTTGAGAAGGGGGAAGTGGGGGGAGATGTGGAGAGGGGGGAAGACGAAGAGGAGGTGGAACGGGAAGGGGAAGGGGGATGGGAAGGGGGATGGGTAGGGGGAGGAGAAAAGGGAGGAGTTGAGAAGGAAGGAAACGAGGACTGGAGACAGGAGAGGTGTGAATCAGAAATTAAAAAACTTTCATGGGATCTTATCTCACCAAATAGTTCTTTGCGCACCTGCTCTCCAACCACCTCCCTCTTCACCCAACCACCGCCCGCTTCACCCAACCACCTCCCTCTTCACCCAACCACCTCCCTCTTCACCCAACCACCTCCCTCTTCACCCAACCACCTCCCACTTCACCCAACCACCTCCCACTTCACCCAACCACCTCCCACTTCACCCAACCACCTCCCACTTCACCCAACCACCTCCCTCTTCACCCAACCACCTCCCTCTTCACCCAACCACCTCCCTCTTCACCCAACCACCTCCCTCTTCACCCAACCACCTCCCTCTTCACCCAACCACCTCCCTCTTCACCCAACCACCTCCCTCTTCACCCAACCACCTCCCACTTCACCCAACCACCTCCCACTTCACCCAACCACCTCCCACTTCACCCAACCACCTCCCACTTCACCCAACCACCTCCCTCTTCACCCAACCACCTCCCTCTTCACCCAACCACCTCCCTCTTCACCCAACCACCTCCCTCTTCACCCAACCACCTCCCACTTCACCCAACCACCTCCCACTTCACCCAACCACCTCCCACTTCACCCAACCACCTCCCACTTCACCCAACCACCTCCCTCTTCACCCAACCACCTCCCTCTTCACCCAACCACCTCCCTCTTCACCCAACCAGCTCCCTCTCTCACCCAACCACCTCCCTCTTCACCCAACCACCTCCCTCTTCACCCAACCACCTCCCTCTTCACCCAACCACCTCCCTCTTCACCCAACCACCTCCCTCTTCACCCAACCAGCTCCCTCTCTCACCCAACCAGCTCCCTCTCTCACCCAACAACCACCCTCGTTCACCTGATAAGCTCGCTGGGGCTGCTCAGCCCTGCATGCCCCAGCACGGCCTCTGTAAGAGCCGTCACGCGGCCACGCCCGTCCCACGCACGCAGCACGGCAGCCAGAGCCTCACAGCTCATCGCATACCCGCTCCCCTTGTCCCCCAGCAACGGCCCGCCCCCTGACGCCCTCGCCTCCCTGCCGTCTGCTGCTATCCCATACGCGATCGTGCCCGTTCCTGAAATCACCACCACTCCACCGCTCGACCCATCCACACTCCCTTCCACCGCTCCTCCTCCCCCACTTCCTCCTCCTCCGCCTCGTCCCCTTCTGCTGTCTCCTCTCCCTCTGCGCCTGCTCTCCTGGGATTCGTCTGGGAGAGTGCCAGTGGCGGTGGTGGCAGCGGCAGCGGGAATGACGCCGAGAGTGGCACTGGCGAACGCGACTAGAGCGTCGTTGCGGATCAACAGGCGGGACGGCGGGAGGTGGGGGAACATGGGGCTGGATGGGGTGGGGTAGGGGAGGTAGGGGGGGTTGGGTAGGGGGGGGGTAGTGGGGAGCGGGGAGAGGTTGGGCAAAGTGGGGGGTGGTGGGAAGGGGATAGGCGAGAGAGGGCGGAGGGAGGGGGAGGGTGCGGAGATTCCTTGGTGGGGGGAGTTGAAGAGATTTGCTGGGCGGGGGGGTTTACAGGAGGTTTCCACAAAAAGGAGTGAAAAGGGGTTTCTGGAGCAAACATGTGTGTTTGGGTGTGGCTATTACAAACACCCATAAATACATGGAAAAACAATGGATATATAGTGAATCCAATGTACTTATATATAATGATATGGTTACTTTGTAATACGTAAGAAATATACATGCACAAATAAGGGATATGTGATGGTATGGTTACTTTGCGCATCAGCCCCTGAGACTGCCCCACCCTCCTCCCCCTCCCCCTTCCCCCATCCTCCCCCCCCCCTCTCCCCTCCCCCCGCCCCTTTCCCCCCACCTGAGCCATGAGCGCACCAGCTGCATGTCCGCGGGTCTATCCACCCCCCAAACCCAACCAGGCCGCCCAGACATCCCACCCTTTCCCCCGTCCATCCTTCCCCCTCCCCCTTCCCTCCAAGCCTCTCTTCCTCCCCCTCCCCTTCCCCCCACCTGAGCCATGAGCGCACTAGCTGCATGTCCGCGGGTCTATCCACCCCCGCCATCCCCACACACACCCCCGCCACCTCCCCCGCCGCTACCCCCGCCGCCCCCAGCGCCCCCTCCATCGCTGCTTGCAGTGCACTGCGCGCACTAGCCTCTGGGGGCAAGGCGGGGGGAGGGGGAGGGGGAGGGGGAGGGGGAGGGGGAGGGGGAGGGGGAGGGGGAGGGGGAGGGGGAGGGGGAGGGGGTCGGGGAGGGGTAGGGGAAGTATGAAGAGGAAATTCGGGCTCCATGTCAGTTGTGTTTCATTGCTATAAATGTGCCGCATTACTTTTGGATGTTCCGCTTAACGTTGCCCAGAGGGTCAAATACATCGCTGCAAACAGCGCAGTGATCACACTAGCCTCTGGGAAAGAAGGGAAGGGGGAAGAGGGAGGGGAAGCGGACGTGAGGAGGAGCGGTGGGGGAAAGCGCATAGCTCTATCCTTCCCCTCGCTATCCACCCCAATTACGTCGCGTATAGGTATTCCCCTCGCATAGGTATTCCTTCATGCCTAGCCTCATCCCTCCTCTCGACCCCTCCCCTATCTCAAACCCCTTCTCCTTCTCAAACCCTGTGTCCCCATTACCCCCGCCTCATCCGCACCGCCGTACCGCCAACGCTGTTCTTATTCGAGCTTCCGCCGCTTCCGCGCCCCACCACGCAGTCCCGCGCGCCAGCCGCCGTCAGTTCCGCTGGCCCGCCAGCTTCCGCCATGGCTTCCGCCATTCCTTCCGCCTCCGCGGGCGCAGCGACGTTTGCGCGCGAGAGGTCGAGGAGAACGGCGGAGGTGGAAGATGCGCCGCCGTCCACCCCCAGAAAAAGCGCGCGCGATCCCGCCGCCATGGGAGAAAGCGGATTCCCCGTGTCGGAACGCGGAGGAAGGCGGAATTGGGGCGAATGGCGCGGACTTTGCGGCGAAAAAGGCAACCCGAGAGACCGCAACTTTAACTCGTTCGAGCTACCGTATGCAATTAGACGAAGAGTAATGAAGACCAGGGACGAAAAGCGATACACAGGGGCCCCTGGTTCTTATTATTTTTGTACCTATGTCTCTCACTCTATAAGTGGTGGTCTGGTCGCTGGTGCTAGGTCGTGTGGGTGGTTTTGGCCCGTTGTAGCTGGTTTCGCTCTTCGTACACGTTTTGAAATGGTGTATTGGAACGTTTGCGTGCAAACTGACAGAATCTAGTACCCGTAATACCCCGGATATAAGACCCGTACCAGTTGTAGACCCCCGGGTCTATAATACGGAGGGGGTATGCTAAATAGGTCGTTTGGAGTTATACCCCCTTAAAGGGGGGCTAACATTATAAAACCCCCCTCCCCATAGAGACAGGGTCATTTTTTAGCCAATTATGGTGACTTGCATGTTTTTCCTACAGTTTTCCACAACCAAACCCACAAAATATTCATTAGTGAGGGGAAAAAGCCGCAAAGGCACACACAATTCTAATCATCATCCTGCCCAGCAACCCATTCCTCAACCTCCTCCCCGTCATGTCGTGGAGTTCATTACGCATATTTTCTCAAAATGCTAAACATAGTGTACACATGTCTGGCTTCCAAATCTCAAGTTATATACATGACCTTTTGATAAGACCCGGGTCTTATAACATACTACCAACTGTGTAGACCCCCCCCCCCATTTTGAGGGTGGGATTCTTATAATACCCCCGGGTCTTATATCCGGGGTATTACGGGTAATCTTTCCAACATTGCTATGATTGAGAAAGCTTGCTTTCTGTTCTTGCAAAGGCAACGGGCTTCATTTCAATTGGCAACTTGCTTCATTTCAATTGGGTAATTACAACATTCTCGTTTAACTAAAACAACACATAGAGATCAATTAGGGGCGGGTGGGGGGGAAGCGGAACTGTAAAGTTCCGAAATGAAGACGTGGGTGGAGGCCAAATGGCCACGGCCTCCAACCCTCGTTATGTACTCGGAAATTTGCATTTGCAGTTGCCTTGCTTCACTACAGTCAGCTGCGCTTTCAAAATAATCATTTTTAGAAAGTGTTTTACACTTTCAAAAAATTTCATATTGAGAAAGCTTGCTTTCTGTTCCTTGCAAGGCAACGTGCTTCATTTCAATTGGGTCTTCTGAGACATGTGCGTCCGTGGACGAAGTGTGGATGGCGGAGCCAGTTGATAGCGATGTCCAGTGAGATTGGCTGTCAGTGATGGTCGTTGCAGTCCACGTCGACGATGTTATTCGAGTTGCTCCTTCCTTGAGATAGATGTCTGTGCCGAGGGTTGTCGGTAGGGTGGGGGACTGTGGTTTGAAGTAATTTTTGTGATGTCACGTGAGGTGGAGAAGGTGGTTATTGAAGATGGCCCATCTGTCATGTATTAGGTTGCCAGTGTTGCGTAAAGATTTATGGCACTATTTCCGCGCTCTTTGGAGAATATTGAGGTGCATGGTCATGAGCTGATACTGTAGCAGTCGTGAAACCGGAGGCGACGGACCAAATTTCGAGTAAAGGGTGCCATTTGGCTACGTCAATAACTGATGCGGTGGTGGTGTGCTTGACATATAAAGCTAGACAACGTCGTAGCAGATGTGTGCAACACGATACATTGCAAATCTGTCCAGGGTGCATCATAACCTTGTATGAATGAGGGCGTTAAGTCACAGATGAAGGCGCGTAATGAGTAACCTATAGTAGTTGCGATTGCACCCCTAAGACATAGGAATGGAAGGGCCCAGAATCGTATATCATCATGGTGGAGCGGTCAACTACGCCGACCAGAGCGGTACGGCTTGCCTCGTTTGCAAGATTTGTAGAACCAAAGAAATGCGGGTTCGTAAAAATAATGTCGCATAACAATACGCATTGTAAGAGAGCTTGAGGAGATGCCTCCAATCGCGGGTTACTAGCCCTATCAATTGCTCATCTCTTGGCCTGTCGGTTGCTCATCGCTCGGCCCGTCAGTCGCCCATCTCTTGGTACGTCGGTTGCTCGTACCCTGGCCCGTCAGTTGCCCGTCACTCGGCCCATCGGTTGCTCATCTCTTGGGTTGTCGGTTGCTCATCTCTTGGCTGATCGGTTGCTCGTCCCTTGGCCGGTCAGTTGCTCATTGCTTGGCCCGTTGGTTGCTCATCGCTTGACCCGTCAGTTGCTCATCGCTTGGCCCGTCCGTTGCTCATCGCTTTGCCCATTAGTTGCTCATCTCTTGGCCCGTCGGTTGCTCATCTCTTGGCCTGTCGGTTGCTCATCTCTTGACCCGTCGGCTGCTCATCTCTTGGCCTATTGGTTCCTGATCGCTTGGCCCCTCGGTTGCTCATCCCTTGGCCGGTTGATTGCTCATCCCTTGGCCTGTCGGTTGCTCATCGCTTGGCTCGTCGGTTGCTCATCTCTTGGTTCGTCGGTTGCTCAGCCCTTGGCCTGTTGGTTGCTCATCTCTTGACCCGTCGGTTGCTCATCGCTTGGCCCATCGGTTGCTCATCTCTTGGTTCGTCGGTTGCTCATCTCTTGGTTCGTTGGTTGCTCATCCCTTGGCCAGTTAATTGCTCATTCCTTGGCCTGCCGGTTGCTCATCGCTTGGCCCGTCAATTGCTCATCCCTTGGTGCGTCGGTTGCTCATCCCTTGGCCGGTTGATTGCTCATCCCTTGCCCTGTTGGTTGCTCATCTCTTGGCCCGTCGGTTATTCTTCTCTTGATACGTTGGTTGCTCATCCCTTTGGCCGGTTGATTGCTCATCCCTTGGCATGTCGGTTGCTCATCGCTTGGCACGTCGGTTGCTCATCTCTTGGCCCATCGATTGCTCATCCCTTGGCCCCTTGGTTGCTCATCTCTGACCGATGTCGTATTATGACAACCAGTAAAAAAAAAAGACAACACGATTTGCCTTGGCTGCCCTGCCACATTACGTTACGGCAGTCCCGTAGCTCCATTCAACACAAGTATTGTTGAAGCACGAACAATCACCGTTAATGGAATGCAAGGTACATCGAAATTTTGTAAAATTTTTATTTTCCCATACGGTATCCTTTCCGGTGTGACAGAACGAGAGGTAGGAGTGAATAATGGTCGAAATACACTCCCTCCCCTCCTCCCTCAGTTGGGTATGTCCAGTGTGGGTGGGGAAGTGATACAACCAGATCCAATACTGTACCTGTCCTTGCTACAGGTGGTTTCACCCTACCAATCTTCCCACAGTCAGTCGAATCACTGTATGTGGCTCCAACATCCTATTGGGGCAAAAAAAGCTTATGATTTTTTTTTTTCACACTATATTCATGTCGTAGACGTATAGCCAATGGTACCTACATATCAACAAACACAGTACATAGTTGGGGTTTTCCACATCTCAGCTTTAGTACGCACATCCCCGCTTTCTAAAACGGTAACTTGTCTGGCCAGCGTACCTTCGTAGGTACTACCTACACCCGGATCTTGACCCCTTTGCCCCATGGGGAACGGCTCTCAGGCCAACTCGGGGACCCTCGGTCCCCTTCCCCCCCTGGGGGACGGCTCTCAGGCCAACTCGGGGACCCTCGGTCCCCTTCCCCCCCTGGGGGACGGCTCTCAGGCCAACTCGGGGACCCTCGGTCCCCTTCCCCCCCTGGGGGCGGCTGTCAGGCCAACTTGGGGACCCTCGGTCCCCTTCCCCCCCTTGGGGGCGGCTCTCAGGCCAACTTGGGGACCCTCGGTCCCCTTCCCCCCCTGGGGGACGGCTCTCAGGCCAACTCGGGGACCCTCGGTCCCCTTCCCCCCCTGGGGGACGGCTCTCAGGCCAACTCGGGGACCCTCGGTCCCCTTCCCCCCCTGGGGGACGGCTCTCAGGCCAACTCGGGGACCCTCGGTCCCCTTCCCCCCCTGGGGGACGGCTCTTGGTCCCCTCTTTTCGATGCGCGTGAAGTTGATCCCGTCGGCGTTGCTATTTTTCCGCGCGACTAGCAGAGTCCGACTCCAATCAGCGGCTTTTCCATCTTGTGCCCGCTTTTCTGCCATAAGGGAGTGTCGAGATTGATAGGCTATGAGAGAAGAAATTAGAACTGGAAAGAAGAAAAAAGAAAATGAAAAGAACTTTGCAACAATTTATATGCAGCTTAAACAATTTGTGATGTGACATGGGGTGCTGCACTAGTGGTTGACGCCGTCAAACGCCTTAGGCGCGGCAGTGGCAGTTTCTTGACTGCCGCGCCACTGCCCATTTCGTCCGTGGCGATTTCGCCACAGACGCGCGCCACTGGCGCAAGTGGCGATTTCGCCACACACGCGCGCCAGTGGCGCAAGTGGCGATTTCGCCACACACGCGCGCCAGTGGCGCAAGTGGCGATTTCGCCACACACGCGCGCCAGTGGCGCAAGTGGCGATTTCGTCAAAATCTTACGCCACTGGCGCACGTGGCAATTTCGTCACTGATGCGCAGCTCTTTCTCGGTTGTGCGCACGCCAGGTGCATCGCGGACGAGATGCTGTACTGTACCTTCCGCAGTTAAAGCCAGCAGCTAAAATAGTGACCCCCCCCTTCTAGTTGGGTCTACTTGATAACACAAGTTTGTTACGAACGTTTTTTTTTTTTTTTTTTTTTTTTTTCATGCCAGACGAGTTTTGATGTGAATGGGAAACATGTGGAACTTGTTTACAAATCTGATTGGTGGCGACTTACGCCCACATTCGTGTGCGAATTTGGCGCAAGGCGGCAATCCCACATTCACCAGAGCAGCCGTCGAAACTTCACAAAAATCCCCATATGCAAAAAAACAGCGCACACAGAGGCAAAATCCAGCGCGCACATAGGCAAAAACCGGCAGGCAAAATCCTGGGTGAACACTGGCAAAATCAGGCAAAATCCAGCGCAAACACAGGCATGATCAAGCAAAAACCATGGCACACACACACGTGAAATCAGGCGAAGAAGATATAAATAAAGAAATGACTGATGAACGAAAAGAAGGCGTGGCGTCGGGACGGTTGATTGGTCGACAGCGAAGACGAAGAGAAGAGACTGGGGACAAGGGGGGCGACGGGAGAGGAGGGGAGAGAGGGAAAATGACGGGATGGGAGGGAACAGAGGAGGAACAACGGGATGGGAGGGGAGAGAGGTGGAACGACGGGATGGGAGGGAAGGGAGGTGGAACGACGAGATGGGAGGGGAGAGAGGAAGAACGACGGGATGCGGGGAGGGAAGACAGATTGTGAGGGGAGGGAGGAAGGGCGCGGAGAGGGCATTACAGAGCAAGAGCGAGGGCGACGAGGTCGTTGATGAACCGGGTGGATACGATGGGCGACTGGAGAGCGTTTCAGCGATTAATGCTTGGGGAGAAGAGACGAAAGGTGACGGAAAGGCATTTCGGGGCGAGCAGGAGGGCGACGAGTGTCAGAGGTCCACTGGAGATCCCCGATGATCCTAGGGAAGGGTTACAGGCACGTCGGCCTGGGGGGTTATGGGCGCACTCACCCGCTATATTAACAAGCCCTTTTATCCCAGTGGTTAGTGGCTGGGATTCTGACATGGTATCAGAGCGAAGGTCTCGGGTTCGATTCCCGGTGTGTGCACTTCGGGCATCCCAGTGCGGGGGGGTGTCAGAGGTCCACTGGAGATCCCCGATGATCCTAGGGAAGGGTTACAGGCACGTCGGCCTGGGGGGTTATGGGCGCACTCACCCGCTATATTAACAAGCCCTTTTATCCCAGTGGTTAGTGACTGGGATTCTGACAACGAGGTGGGTGATGGGAAGGGAGAGAGGAAGGGCGCGGGGAGCGCGTTTGAGTGCGAGCGTGAAGGTGACGAGGCAGGCGATGGGAGGAGAAAGTGGGTGCGGGACGGGAAGGCGTTTCGTGGCGAGCGAGAAGGCGATGGGGTGGGTGATGGGGGATGGGAGAGGAAGCGACGGTGGGCGATGGGCGATGGGAAGGGAGCGGCGTGAGAGAGAGCGACGCGCGGAGCAACGAGAGAGAGAGCGCGACGGGAAGGGAGCGGCGAGAGAGAGAGCGACGGGAAGGGAGGGGAGAGAACAAGAGAGACGGGAAGGGAGGGGAGAGAGATAGAGCGACGGGTAGGGATGGGAGAAGGCGATTGCAACGGGATGGAAGCGGCGAGAGAGAGAGCGACGAGAAGGGAGAGGAGAAGGCGATTGGTTCAGGAAAGGGAGCGGCGAGAGAGAGAGAGAGCGCCGGGAAAAACGCGAGGGTGATTGGAGGAAAGGGGTAACGGAGATGACGACAGGAGGGCGACGGGACGGGCGATAGGATCGCGACACGACGGTCGACGGGACGACGCCAGGACGGACGGAGTGTGGGCGATTGGAACGGGAGGACGAGCTAGATGAGATGGGAAGGCGGCGAGAGGGCATCCGAAACGGCACAAAGTACTACACATCCGTGGCAGTTTCACTACGCGTCTAAATTGAAACAACAACGGCCTAAGTTGAAGCTTCGATGGCTAGACATGCTACAAATAACTAGGAAGCAGAGAGTGGTGATCGGAAGAACTAGTAGTTGTTCACCCAGACCCAACTTGAACCCCAAGCCGGGCCCAAAATCGCAAGGACGTGCATGGGCGATTGCAGTTCGAGCTTCCCAAACTGATATGCGACGCCTCACGTGCTGTGTTCCTTCTTTTGGTTTTGGCGGGAACCAATCAGATGTGTTCGATCTGCTAAAAACACCGGAAACTTGTCGGTTTGGTTCGAAAATTGTTTCGCACGGCAAGCCCTCTTTCAAGCTGGCCCCGGGTTCACTATTTTGCATTTCGGTTTTAACGCGCGTAGTAGCTACTAAGTTACGTAGCTGCTGCAGCACTTGTCCTAGCGTTGTTTCCGTACTAAAAAAAAGTGGGAATTAAGAATGAGTGAGAACAGAAGTGGTTGGACGAGAATGAAGCGGAACTGTAAAGTTCCGAAATGAAGACGTGGGTGGAGGCCAAATGGCCTCCAACCCTCGTTATGTACTCGGAAATTTGCATTTGCAGTTGCCTTGCTTCACTACAGTCAGCTGCGCTTTCAAAATAATCATTTTTAGAAAGTGTTTTACACTTTCAAAAAATTTCATATTTCTTGTTGATTTTTACCAAAAAATTGTGCTTCGAAAAACCAATGTCAGGACACAAAAATGAGACAATCAATCACAAACTGCTGCTACACAGCCAAGCTACGGTACAACAAAACTAAACATCTAAGGATCACCAGTCCTCTTCACCACTCCAAGCGACACCAAAGCCGAATCAAGCGAGGTAAGCGTCGCTAAATCGTCCTCCGCATACTCTGTAACCACCTCCACTCTCTTCCCAGCCTCCTTCCCGCCCCCAAACAAGCTCCCAAAGCTCGGGAATGCCACCGCGGGTAGTGACGGAATGACAGGGAATGGTGAGGCAGAGCCGGGGGGGATTAGGTCTTGGAGGAAGGCAAAGGTCTTTCGTAGGTCGGCCGGAGTGGCGGCGATGGGTGAGGAAAAATGGCATGGGATAATGCGAGTGAAGGCCCAATCGGATGTGATGCTGTTGATCCATGTTAGGGCCTGAACAGGGGGGGGGAGGAGGGGTTGGAGGCAAAACACTTCGACGACCAGCACCCACAGCAGATGCACACCACATGCCATCGATACAAGGACCAGCATACACATTGGACAAGAAGTAAAACGCTGAAACCCCCATCCCTCACCTGTGCAGGGACTTTGTCAAAGACGAGTGTCTTGACAACGGGTGAGACCACAAGCTTGCCACAGATGCGCTCAAACGACTCCTCAGGCTCCAGCAGGTTGCCCGGGCCAAAGAAGAGGATCTGCAGCACCATGCGCTGCCACCCTGTTGGGCGGGGGGGAGTGCAGGGGGAGAGAAAGGGATTTTTTGAGTCAGCTCAACCAAGGACTGACTCCTCGGGCTCCAGCAGGTTGCCTGGGCCGAAGAAGAGGATCTGCAGCACCATGTGCTGCCACCCTGTTGGTGGGGGGGGGGTGGGGGGGGGGGGGGGTGGTTGCGGGGGGAAGAGAGGGAGTTTTGGAGTCGGTTCAACCAAGGACTGACGCCTCGGGCTCCAGCAGGTTGCCTGGGCTGAAGAAGAGGATCTGCAGCAAGTTCTGCCACCCTGTTGGTGGGGTAGGGTAGGAGAAGGAGGGGGTCGGGATTTTGGATAAGGGAAACGTATATGGTTAGGGCATGGGCATCTGAATTTCGGAGGTTTGCACAGCCCTGATGACATGGCTTAGACCACTACACGTACAGCCACTCACACACATACACGCACCAACCATCCACCGTCCACCCTCCACACCAGTCCCCGCGCAACATCGCTCTGCAGCAAGCATGCGTCAGAGCAATTCTGAACCAACCAGCAACAATTCCACCAATATTCAACAACACTCCTCACATTCCATCCACTTTCACACAGCCTCACCCTTGCATAACCCATCTTTCTCTGATATTCTTGGCACTCTAGCACCAACTGTCAACAGTGCGACATCGCATCCTTCGATCCTCCCACCCACACTCACATCAACTCCTCCCCAGCGTCCCCAACTCAGAAAATACAGCTTTCCACTCAATTACCACCAGCTCTTCCCCCAGCACCCAAATATAGCAGCACCTCCATCCACACGTACCACCAGTGCTCCTCCCGATACCCAACCAACCAGCCCAGCCCAAACCAGCCCAACTGAACCCATTCCCAGCCCAACCAGACGCACCAAGAGTCCTGAACTCCTCCGTATCCTCCACTTCCACATCCGGCACTTCTCGTCCCGCGGAGAGCACGCGCACGGCAAGCCCATTGCGAGCAGCGTCTAGCAGCGCATCAGGGCGCACCACCTGCGGCGGCTCCCGGGGCACCACGATCACTGCATCTGTGAGCAGCAGCGTGCGCGAGGGACGGTGGAAGAATGCAATCTCCACGTACGGGCCTATGCCTGGGGGGACGAGGAGGGGAGGGAGGTGGGGTGGGGGCGAGGGGGTGCGGGAAGGGAGAGAGAAATAGATGCGAGCTTTGAGTAGGCTCAAAAGAGGGACGAGGGAAGGTGATATCCACAACTAACCCAATGGCTGACGGGACAGGGGGGTGGGGGAGGTGGTATTATGGGGATGGAAGGAAAACAGGGTTTGAGTTTTCAGTGGGCTGGGCTCAAAAGGAGGACAGCAGTAAAGGGGGCCATCCAACGGATGCCATGGGGGTTTGACAGGGAGCTGAAGAAAGGTGGGGTAGGGTTTAGGGGGAGAGGAGAGGAAAGCAGGCGGAGTGGGGTAGGGTGAGAGAAAGATGGTAGTAGGGAGGAAAAGGAGGATGCTCCAGAGGAGCAGCTGCGGGTGGGGATCACTCAATTATCTCCACTCCACTGCTTTATGCAACTCTCTCAGGAGCACAGCGCAACCCTCCCCTCCATCTCATCCTCCATTGACACACACACAAACATCAGGTGATACACCAATCCAAGCGTGTACTAAACCTTCAAGAGGTGACTACTAAATACCAATAATATCGGAATTGACCCCCCTGTGAATCCTCGCGAATCCTCCATTCACACGTACCAACTTCAGGAGAGGCGAGGATCTGATAATCAATCTCCTCAGGCCACTCGTCCGGCTTGAGGAACCGTCAGAACCGTCCCTCCGAAGAGCCCCAGGAACGGCAGGGGCAGGTTGATGATGGGCCAGCTATTTGGGCCACCTCACAACACGTACCAACTTCAGGGGACGCGAAGATCTTATAATCAATCTCCTAAGGCCACTCGTCCAGCTTGCGGAACCATCAGAACCGCCCCTCCGCCAGATCCGTCCCTCCAAAGAGCCCCAGGAACGGCAGGGGGAGGTTGATGGGCCAGCTTTAAGAGGCACCTCACAAAACGTACCAACTTCAGGGGACGCGAAGATCTTATAGTCAATCTCCTCAGGCCACTCGTCCGGCTTGGGTCCGTCCTCCGCCAAAACCGTCCCTCCGAAGAGCCCGAGGAACGGCAGGGGCAGGTTGATAGGCCAGCTCCACTGGCGCGGCGCCACCCACGTGCGCGCCTTGGGGAACGCGCGCGCGAACGGCCCTGCGAAGACCTTGTGCTCGTACGCGAAGGTGGGCAGCACGATGTGCTCCACAGGGAGGTTCAGATCCTTGAGCAGCTGGTGGGTGGTTGGGTTGAGGGAGGGAAAGGAGGGGTTTGAGGCGTCTCAATGGAAGACGCGCGCGAAGGGCTATGCCCTGCGAACACCTTGTGCTCGTATGCGAAGGTGGGTAGCACGATGTGCTCCACTGGGAGGTTCAGATCCTTGAGGAGCTGGTGGGATGGTGGGTCGAAGGATGGAAGGCCAGGGGAGGTGCGCCGGGAGCGGGGAGGGAGGAGAGAGGGGGTGGGGAGGAGAGGGATGGGAGAATGCCGGGAGAATGGAGAACAAAGAGCGAGTTTGGAAAATAATGCCTCTCTTGGTTTCGAGATTCGTCTCGCATGGCAAATGGTTTCTCTTCTTTCAGCCTCATTCACCATGTTCTGTCGCGGATGGGCTGTCAAGAATGTCATGTCGTTGCATGTCTCTGTGTCACTATGGCATGAAGGCTGAACCTCAGCAGCGCGTCTGTAATCTCAGTCAGCAGCTCATGGAATGAACCCGTTCCTTCTTCAACTGTTCCCCTTTCGACTGCCTGATCAAATCGCGATCGCTCTAATCAAGGTTAGAAGAAGCAGACGAGAGAGTAGATCGCCCCTGATAGTCTTCGCCCCGCTATGCTAATCGTAGTGTTACTCTAAATGTTACTCCCAGTCGTGGCCATACCTTGAGGCATTCAGCAGTGGGGGCAATGGGCGCGTGGACGAAAAGCCCGCCGGACTTGAGCTTGATAACCGTCATTCTGCGAGGAGGGCGGGAACACGGACGGTCAGCCGGCAAACACCGTAAAACCAGAACAAGAAACAGCAGACGACGCGAGCGAATGATGTTGGTGCTAGCTAACAGCCAAGCCTCAGGCCCAGCTGCAAGCTATGTTGGCATTGCTTTCAAGAATTCTCAAAGCAAAGCCTCAGCGGCAAGCTGAGGCGCGGAGGAACATCCGAAGGATCGCAGATGGAATGGACACGAGGAGAAAAGTATGTAGTGGCATTGAATGTAGTCGCATGTACATCCATACCACACCCACTCAGTCCCCATCCCGTTCACCCTTCAATTCCACACCATTTCAAACGCATTTAGATCGAGCACCAAGGTACACCAACCGTCTGCAAGCAACAAGCGCGACATGCGCGGTAACCAGCAACGCACCTGACGTTGGTGGTGACGTTGCTGAAGCCCAGTCCTTGCTCCTGCTCGAAGCACCAAATGCTGCCGCGGTCGACCTGGCGGTAGCAAAAGAGTTTAAGAATGGGTAAACGGGATAGAAGGCGGGCGGGTTGAGGTTGGGTGTTGTGTGGAGGGGGGTCGGGGGGAGGGGGGGAGAGTTGATGGGTAAGGGAGGAGAGAGGAAGGGGAGGGGCGGAGGGACGGCGGGTGGGGGGTGAGGAGATCCGAGGGAGTGTATAAGAGTGGGGGAAAGAAGGGGAGGCGTGGTTGGACATTACGACGGATTTAACCGGGAATTTGGTTGCGCAAATGTAAGAAGTCGAGTAGGAGGATGAAGAAGGGTAAGATGCCGTGGACATTTTTACATTTTGTCTCTCACGTTGAAAGGTCGATAGGGGTCTGATGGGCACCATGCAAGAACTGGACTTAAAAGAAGCATCTGAACTTTGTCTAGGGTTGCCTAATAGAAAGAAAGGAATGCTCTCCTCACCTCATAGCGATATGTCTTGCGGCTGAGGAAGGGACGCAGCGGGAACGGGAACCCCGTGATGCTGACGTACCACTGCCGCCAAAACGACGAGCTCTCGTCTTCCTCCTCCTCTTCCTCCTCCACCACCTCCTCCTCATCCTCCGCCGCCCCCGAGCGTCAAGCGCATCGTTCCGATCTGATCAAAGAACGAGTTTTTTCTCTTCTCCTCTACCTCCTCCTCCTCCTCCTGCTGCTTGTCATCCTTAGGGTTAAGCGACCATCGCATTGTTCCCAGTTGGCCGAGAATCGTCTTGGACTGCGGCTCTTCTTCCTCCTCTTCCACCACAGCGTCGCGCTTCCAGGGAAGTTTAACTCCCAGGATCGACTTGCCTTGAACCTCTTCTTCTTCCTCCTCCTCGTCCTTTTTCTTTTCCCATGGCATCTGAACTCCCCACTTTCCGTCCTTGGATGCTTGGCATGGAGCCAGAGAGGAGCGGCCAGAGGAGGGGGGAACAGCGGCACGGAGAATGGCGTTTTGAGAAGTAGGAACAATGCTGATTGGGGCTGGGGATGTATTGGTGAGGGAGAGCGGTTGCCGCTGCGACTTTCCGCGCGACACCTGCGCGGTCGCAGGCGCGAGAGCGGAGGCTCCAACGAGAGATGTTGTTGAAGCCATTATCAGTGCGGGAGAAGCGATTATTCCGTTACTAGCTGTTTCTGCTCCAACCTTGAAAAGAAATGTCTCGTCCTCGATGTGTAGGAATTTCTAAGTTGGTGAGCTCGACAGGGGTGTGAAAGTTCGCCTCGCCTCGCCAGCGTGGCAGTGTCTGCTTGTGATTGCAACAAACAAACCGCCGCTATTCGTGGTTCGAGCTGCACAAGGCGTTGACGGGGCACGAGATTCCCAAGGGGCGGGACAAGTGGTGGTTCCAAATGGTGCAGTGAACGAAGCTGCTACCGTGGAAGCTCTTCGGAAATGCCAGGTCATCTGGGATGCTGGATCCGAAGCTCATCAGCGAGATCCACGCGACCAATTGGCTCCCAAAAATTTGGTGAGACTTTAACAGCGCATCGTGGCTTCAAAAAGTTAGTGGCCCAAAATTGGGCTAGCGTGTTTCTAGCGCAGGGCTTACGCCTTTATAGGTGACGTGGCCAGGGATTCAGCAACTTCTAGAAATTGTCGCGTCGTGTCGCTCGCACCTTGCTTCTATACACCTCTGACCATAATAAAGAGCGGCTCAGAACACAACGGTTGCTATTCATTTTTCTAAGCCATCCATAAGAGAAATCAGCTCGACTGCATTGCCAAATCCACATCACGCACACTGGTACCACCATTTTCAGACAGGCCCATTATATCAGCAAATGCTTGCCTCTCCATGGCCATCAGAACACCTTCAGACCCTCCATTCTCCAATCCCCAGCAGCCACCAACACCATTTCCAAATCCTAGACACAGACGAGTCTTGGCCTCACACAGAGCCTCTTCACCAACATGCCAGACGAAACGACATGCAAGCGTGGCTCTATTGGTGCAATCAGCCAGGTCCTCATCTTCCATATCCTCCCCCTCATCATACTCCATCACCTCATCATCATCATCTCCCTTGTTATCTCCAACACCCTCCTCTTCCTCATCCCCTCCCGCACCATCCCATTCATCCTCACCCGCTCCATCACCATCCCCAGTCGTCGTCATCTCAACATCCCCGCCCACCTCTCCACCAGTCCCGCAGCCCGCCAACGCCTCAGCCCGTCTCTCGGCCTGTAATGCCAATTCTCTCCGTGCCGTCTCATACCCCGCCATGTATAGGGATGCAGCTTCATACAGCATGTGCAGCGGGCGGAACGGCTGTTCAAAGGAGCGTGTCCATCCTTGCTCAAGCTCCTGTCATTGACATAATGGTTGGGATCATGGTTGGCACCATGGTTGAGATGATGGTTGGCATCATGTTGTGTGTTGGTGAAAAAAAAAAGGACGAAAGGGAAAGCTGAAGGGTGATTCTGAGGCGCCTTTCCAGAAAAATCAGTCTCCATCCCTTACCCTCCCTCACACTCTCCCCAACCCCTCCCTGCCCACCCATACCTCCCTCCTCCACACCCCTCCCCACACTTCCCTCCTCACCCCCACTCCGCCCTCCACGCACCTGCCGGAACTCGTTTTCGATAGCCGCGAGCTTGGCTCTGCGTGCCCCTCCCAGCAGCGTGGTTCTCTGCCGCACCACGTCGCGCACCTGCACCTCGTACTGCCCCAACAGCCCCTCCCACTTGGCCCGGCTGGCAGCACCGTTGGGGTCCCTGCTGGCCAGCTGAGCTATGCCCGCGTCTGGGGTGACTGCGCCTGTGTAAGGGGAGGGGAGAGGGGAGGGGAGGGGAGGGGAGGGGAGGGGAGGGGAGGGGAGGGGAGGGGAGGGGAGGGGAGGGGAGGGGAGGGGAGGGGGGGGGGAGAGGAGGGGAGTGGGGGGGCAGGCGGCAGGTGGTGGTGGATTCCGAAGAAAGTCAGCTGCACTCACTAGCGCCAGTTTTGCCACACACTCTCTCATGCACCTGGTTGGTGTGAGTAGTAGCACTACCCTCTCCCGCACTGCACACACACCATGAAGCGTCTTGTTGGTTTGAAATCGTATGAATTCAAGTGTAGTGTGGACCATAAGATGGCTTCAAGGTCAATGAATCAACAACAAATGCATCAAGTCAGTTGGTTCCAGTAATCGCGAAAGAACTAGAATACCTGAGTCGACCACGTGTTTGCGCCGCTCCTCCTGCACGGCGTCAAACATCTGCCCCATGAGCGACGTGGAGTGGTAGCACGTGCGCGTGGACGAGCGCATGAAGTGCGGGTAGCTCTCCACCTTAAACCGCCCCAGCCCCTCCACCTGCGCCACAGACGAGAGTGATGGTATGGGGGGATACGGGCGATGGGGATAGGAAGAAGGTACGGGGTGACGTGGAGTGTCAGCACGTGTGTGCGTCAAAGACTGTATGAAGTGCGGGTAGCTCTCCACCTTGAACCGCCCAGCCCCTCCACCTGCGTGACGGATGAAATCGGGGTGATGCGACAGGTCATGGGGTTGAGATGACGGGGGTGATAAGATCGGGGCTTTAAACTCTGGCGAAGGGTGGCTTCAAGGTCAAAATAATTCTGAAGTCGCAGCAGCAATGTGGAATTCGTGCTGTTGAGGCATGGTATGGCATGGGAAGACCATTCAGAAAGGAAGGGACGGGAGGATTGACTTTTGAAGGTAGGCATGTCGGCTCTTGAGCCGAACAGCATGTTTGCATTGCATACCCACACATAACATCACATGCATCACACACATCACGGATAGCAGCCAAAACACAAACAGCTCCAACCAATCCACACACACACACACACTCAACACCCAACACTCCCCTCCACCCCCCTCTCCCTCCCCCTTTTCCCCCTATTGCCCCTCTCCCCCACAGCCACCCACCACGTGACCAGTCTTGGCGGAGTCAAGAGCAAGCTCGTAGAGAGCAGCGAGCTGCAAACACAAACCCACCCCATCCCCATCGCCATCCCCATCCCCATGCCCATCCCCATCCCCCTCCCCCTCCCCCTCCCCCTCCCCCTCCCCCTCCCCCGCCCACAGCCACCCACCACGTGGCCAGTCTTGGCGGAGTCAAGAGCAAGCTCGTAGAGAGCTGCGAGCTGCAGGCACTGGGGGGAGTCCGGGCCCAGAGGCGACCGGTCCATGTGCGCTAGATGCAGGTTGCCCGCCGTGCCCATGTGGAAGCTGGCGAGGGGGTGCATGGTGTGGAGGCGAAACAAGAGGGGGTTGTCAGATAGTGGGGATTGTGAACAGGTTGTGAGGGCCCACCGGTCCATGTGCGCTAGATGCAGGTTGCCCGCCATGCCAATGTGGAAGCTGGTGAGGGGTGTGGGTGGGTGGTGTGGGGGGGTTATGGGGAAGGGCTACGGAAGAGAATGGCATGTAAGAGGCCAGCGGTCCGTGTGTGCCAGATGCAGGTTTCCTGCTGTGCCCATGTGGAGGCTGGTGAGGGGGTGCGTGGTGTGGGAGAGTATGGCGATTGTGTAAGAGGCCAGCGGTTCATGTGTGGCCATGAAAGAGAACTGCATGTTAAGAGGCCAGCGGTTCATGTGTGGCCATGAAAGAGAACTGCATGTTAAGAGGCCAGCGGTTCATGTGTGCCAGATGCAGGTTGCCCGCCGTGCCCATGTGGAACCTGGTGGGTCGGTGGTGTGCGGGGGTTATGGAGATGGTGAAAGGGCCACGAAAGGGAATTGCACATGGAGGGGAGAGCGGTCAATCCATGTGAGGGAAGGGAAGAGAATCCAACGTGGGGAAGAGAGCAGTCAATGTGTGCTTTACAGTCAACCTAGACGCAGGTTTCCTGCTGTGCCCATGTGGAGGCTTGGAGGGGAGGTGGTGTGTGTGGGTGGATCGGGGGGGTTTGGGGGATGGAGGGTATGCAGCGTATGGAAGGAGGAGGTAGATTCACATAGCATGGTCGCTACCCGCCCCCCCAGTTTTTTCCTAGCAGATTCACTCCACATAGCAAGCATTCTCATCCCCTCACCCTCACCCTCCCGTCACCCAGGTTTAGGGGAAGCAGCAGCGACTGCACAGCTCCGCCATTTTTCCCACCCTCCCACCCAACCATCATTCCCTTCATAAAAACCAAAGCTTCATCAACTCCCTCATGCATGCATGACAACGATCCCCCAATCTTTTGAGTCGACTCAAAGATACAAGCATCGCTCCTAACACTCCTAGCGTCCCTACAAGCCGCAAGTCCTCTCACCGGTTGTAAAGCTCCCCATCCAGCCAGCAGCGAATGAGAGCTCTCTCCCGCACAGCAGGGTCGCAGGGGAGTGGGGGGAGGGGCTCCGAGACAGATGGGCAGGCAGGCGGCAAGGGGCGTTCTTGGAATGCGCTGACAATCTGCGGTGGAATGGGAAATGGATGTAAGGTGGGTGGGACATTCTGATATGCTTCAAAACGCGTGTAGCAGGGTTGGACAGGCGTGAGTGGGGGAAGGGGCTCCGAGACGGACGGATGGGCAGGCAGACGGCAGGGGGCGCTCGTGGAAGGCGCTGACAATCTGAGGGGGGATAGGGGGGGGCGGATGGGAGGTGGATGGGCAGTGATGTGATGCCAAGGATGGGAGCGATGGGAAAGACGGGAGAGATGGGATGGATGAAATGGATGGGAGGACACTGCGCAACAAAATCAAGATGATGTAATGGCCAACTACCCTGCTCCCTTCACCCCCCTTCGTCATTCCTCCCTCTCCATTCCCCCCAGTGCCCCACACATTCTCTTCTCCCCCCCAGTGATGAGGAACCTATCTCCGTCCAGGTCCCCCCCGCCCATGCAGTCCGTGACCGAGCACCGCCCGCGCGTGGAGAAGATGACGCAGAAGCGCGAGGAGCGAGGCAGCAGGGAGAGCGTGGCAGCAGGGAGAGCGAGGCAGCAGGGAGAGCGTGGCAGCAGGGAGAGCGTGGCAGCAGGGAGAGCACGGCGAGCGATGCAAGAACCTGCCACACTCACTCAACCTCCTTGCACTCACCTGGGGGTGCATGATAACGAGGAACCTGTCGCCATCCAGGTCCCCCCCGCCCATGCAGTCCGTGACCGAGCGCTGGCCGCGCGTGGAGAAGATGACACAGAAGCGAGAGGAGCGCGGCAGCAGGGAGAGCACTGTGGGAGAGTGCACGGCTGAGAGACGGCGGATGTTGCTCACGAGGAGAGACGGCGGGCGGTAGACCAGGCACGGGCCTGACACGGGGCCGTCGTGGCTGTTGTGGGGCCATGGGGGATGCGTGGTGGATGTGTGATTTGTGCCGCGTGTACAACAACACACACAAAGCCGCAGCAGCAGCAGCAGCAGCAGCAGCAGCAGCAGCAGCAGCAGCAGCAGCAGCAGCAGCAGCAGCAGCAGCAGCAGCAGCAGCAGCAACAGCAGCAGCAGCACGACCGCCGAAGCATTTCCTCAAGAAACATGGGCAAGAGCAGCAGGAAAACTCACAGCAGCACAACAATCTCGTTGGGTGCGAGTGTGTTGGAGGGATCAGCCACGCCCATGAGGTAGTAGCAGTGCGGCACCTCCACCTTGCCACTCGCTAGGCTCTGAATGGAAGACAAGGGGAGTAAAGAAGAGGAGAGGAGGGTGGGGAGGGGAGGGAAGGGGAGGGTAAGAGAAAGGGGCTAAGGTGACTAGCTCTGCACTGGAGGATAAGGGAGAAAGGGCCTGAGCTGAGCCAACACGGGTGCATTGTTGGTTGAAATGAGCCATCAAGCAGATCAACATGGAAAAAGGGGACGGTAATATTACCTCATGGGCTCACCTGAAAGCCCCAAGACGAAAGATCGACAAACAAACAGATGAAGTAACAAACGAACGAACGAACAAACAAACAAGCAAGTTATCAGACGAAACAAAGGAAACAAGCAGTGACATACCTGGATGTGCGAGTACTGCAGGCGCCACAACACGCGCTGAATGAATGCATCGCGCAGGTCCACAGTGGAGAGCAGCATGCGACACGCCAGCTGCACGTCCCTTGGATCCACCACCCTCTTGTGCCCCCGCATGCTCTCCTGCAACACTGGGAGGGATAGAGGGCGGGTAGGAGGGAGGGAGGGAGGGAGAGAGGGAGGAGGGAGGCAGAACAAGCATGAGCAAGGGCACAGAAGCACGGCAGATCGAAGAATCAACGTGGACAGGAATGGAAGGCAGAACAGAACGGAAGCTGGATGGAAGGAAGGAGCGCACGTTTCATGGCAGCCTTGTGTTCCGTGACAGGTGCGCAGGCAGCAGCAGCAGCGGAACGCACGAGGTCGAGGAAGAGGTGTGCGGGCACCCCGCCCCTCTCCAGAAGCGCTATCACCGTGCGGTTGAGGCGTGCTGGCAGTGCCTCCTTGCTGGCGGAGGGGAGGATGCAGACACGGGATGGGAGGGATGGGAGGGACACGGAGCGGGACGGAGAGTGAAATGGGGATGCAATGCAAGAGGTCGAGGAAGAGGTGTGCGGGCACGCCGCCCCTCTCCAGCAGCGCTATCACCGTGCAGTTGAGGCGTGCTGGCAGTGCCTCCTTGCTGGTGGGGGGGGGGGGGAGATGCAGACGCGGGATGGGAGAAATGGGAGGGACAGGAGGGACGGGGAGGGATGGGAGGGAGGGATGGGGAGGGATGGGAAGAATGGGAAAGTCTATGGGAAGTGGGACAGGGACTGGGACTGGGAGTGGGATGGGGAAAGGGATGGGGATGGAATGCAACGCACGAGGTCCAGGAAGAGGAGTGCGGGCACCCCACCCCTCTCCAGCAGCGCTATCAGGGCGGGGTGCCCGCACTCCTCTTCCTGGAGAGGAGTTGAGCCTCGCCGGCAGGGCTTCCTTGATGAAGGGGGCCTTGCAGTGCAGGGACAGGTGGAAGGGAGAATAGATGTGGAAGGGAGAATAGATGTGGAAGGGAGAATAGATGTGGAAGGGAGAATAGATGTGGAAGGGAGAATAGATGTGGAAGGGAGAATAGATGTGGAAGGGAGAATAGATGTGGAAGGGAGAATAGATGTGGAAGGGAGAATAGATGTGGAAGGGAGAATAGATGTGGAAGGGAGAATAGATGTGGAAGGGAGAATAGATGTGGAAGGGAGAATAGATGTGGAAGGGAGAATAGATGTGGAAGGGAGAATAGATGTGGAAGGGAGAATAGATGTGGAAGGGAGAATAGATGTGGAAGGGAGAATAGATGTGGAAGGGAGAATAGATGTGGAAGGGAGAATAGATGTGGAAGGGAGAATAGATGTGGAAGGGAGAATAGATGTGGAAGGGAGAATAGATGTGGAAGGGAGAATAGATGTGGAAGGGAGAATAGATGTGGAAGGGAGAATAGATGTGGAAGGGAGAATAGATGTGGAAGGGAGAATAGATGTGGAAGGGAGAATAGATGTGGAAGGGAGAATAGATGTGGAAGGGAGAATAGATGTGGAAGGGAGAATAGATGTGGAAGGGAGAATAGATGTGGAAGGGAGAATAGATGTGGAAGGGAGAATAGATGTGGAAGGGAGAATAGATGTGGAAGGGAGAATAGATGTGGAAGGGAGAATAGATGTGGAAGGGAGAATAGATGTGGAAGGGAGAATAGATGTGGAAGGGAGAATAGATGTGGAAGGGAGAATAGATGTGGAAGGGAGAATAGATGTGGAAGGGAGAATAGATGTGGAAGGGAGAATAGATGTGGAAGGGAGAATAGATGTGGAAGGGAGAATAGATGTGGAAGGGAGAATAGATGTGGAAGGGAGAATAGATGTGGAAGGGAGAATAGATGTGGAAGGGAGAATAGATGTGGAAGGGAGAATAGATGTGGAAGGGAGAATAGATGTGGAAGGGAGAATAGATGTGGAAGGGAGAATAGATGTGGAAGGGAGAATAGATGGGGCGCGGGAAAGGAGTGGAATGGGTCAGGGCTAATGGGAGGTATCGGAGATGGGGAAGGGAGTTGGACCAACCAACATCTCACTCACTTACTCACTCCCTCACTTACGTGGTTTCATTGACTTCTATGGAAAAGAGAGGCCCGGTGGGTTGACATGGTGGCTGGGATGACAACTGCTGTTGCACCTGCGGTTGTGAACCTGCCTGCTGCAGCTGTGACTGAAGTATTTGGTGGGACTGATGGGAGTGGTGCGACTGTTGTGATGGCGAGAGTATGGATGCAGAGAGGCCTGTGTGGTTGCTTGCTGGGTCTGGCAGAGGAGCGGCGACTTTGACCATGCTGCTTCGGAGCAAGATGCACACACCAGGGCGGACGTACGATGGCATCTGCAAGGCACAGACAGACAGACAGGGAGCAGGGGGCATGCAGAATATTATTGAGCCGCCTGCTGGGCCTAGCAAGGGAGGGGTGACTTTGACCATGCTCCATGCTGCTACGGAGCAGGATGCACACACCAGGACGGACGTATGATGGCATCTGGAGTGGAGGGCGAAGAGAGGGAGGGGGCAGTGGGCATGCAATGCAGACTAGTATAAAGACACCTGCTGGGTCTAGCAAGCAGGGCTGCACATGAGCTTGACGCTTTTCAGAGCAGGATTGCACCCCAGGACGGACGAACGGGCATCCCTCAAAACGAGTGAAATGTGAAAGAGAGAGAGACCCGCCGCATTGCCGCACAGAGCATATTAGGGCTCGCCCAATCTCACCTGCTGGACCACCAGCAGTGTTCCCTTCACCACCACGCCTCCCAGGAACCCTCTCATCTGCCACACAGCTGGTCGCACACCTTCATACCCTGCCTCCCCCTCTCCCCCGCCCCGAAACACTCCTCCGGCCATTCTACCTGCTCCTCCCCCAATTTCCCCCAATGCTCTTCCTCCTCCGCCTCCTCCTACTGCTCCTGCTCCTGCTCCCCATCCCCCACCCTCAACCCCTTGCACCAGTCCCATCTCTTGCTCTCTTTGTGACACAAACAGGCTAGCACTACCCCAGAACAATTCACTTTCCTCCTCTCCCGCCCTCCACTGCTCCTCTCCACCTGACCCCCCCATTCCTTGATACACACCCCCCTCTGCGCCCTCCTCTTCACCCCCACCCGCTTCTGCACCCCCCATTGCTGCATCGCCTGCAACACCACCACCCCCCAGCAGCCCACGTTCCTGTTCGAGCTGGGTCACTGCCATGCACGCAGCATTCCAATCATAATCCTCGTCCTCATCCCACTCCACCGCATCCTCCTCCTCCTCCTCTTCGTCTGGCTCCTCCAGATCAAGTGCTGCTGCTGCTGCCACTTCCGCCGCCGCCGCTGCTCCTCCTCCTGCTCCTCCTGCTGCTGCTGCTCCTCCTCCTGCTGCTGCTGCTGCTGCTCCTGCTCCTCCTCGTGCTGCTGCTGCTCCTGCTCCCCCTGCTCCTCCTGCTACTGCACCTGCTGCTGCTGCTGTGCCTGGAGCCATTGCTGCTTGAGCCTCATCATCTGAATCTGGCTCCTCCAGCTCTTGTGCTGCTGCTGCCATCACTGCTGCCGCCGCTGCCCTCGTTTCATGCTCCCACTCCGGATCCTCCAGCTCTTGTGCTGCTGCTGCCATCACAGCCGCTGCCGCTGCTGCCCTTGCCTCATCCTCCCCCTCTGGCTCCTCCAATTCTTGTGCCGCTGCTGCCCTCACTGCTGCTGCTGCTGCTGCCCTTGCCTCATCCCCCCTCTCCGGATCTTCCAATTCTTGTGCCGCTGCTGCCCTCACCGCTTCTGCTGCTGCTGCTGCTCTGGCCTGCTCCTGAGCTCGCTGCTGCTGCTGCTGCTGCTGCTGCTGCTGCTGCTGCTGCTGCTGCTGCTGCTGCTGCAGGTTAGCTTGTGATCGCTGCTGTGTCTGCCCCAACACCTGCTGCTGTTGCGCTTGGCTGGATCCAAGCTGCTTCTGCGTGTGCAACGAGAGCCGACAGAGCAAGAACAGAGGGGAAAGGAAGCGAGGGAGGGAGCAGGCAGATTCATGAACGAGAGAAGAGTTGGGGAGATTTGTGAGGCGCCTCAAAGGTGATTCACCCAGCCAGCCAGGACACCTTTCTCAAAGGTGACTCACTCAAAGGTGAGCCTGCTCAGGCACTTAGAGGACTCTGACTGGATTCTGAACTCAGTTTTTTCAGAACTCTGCATTCCCAACATCTACCACTCCCCCCTCTCCTTAATCCACCTCATTGCACCTTGGTCCACCATAATGCGTACCTGATCAGAATGGAGCTCCTCCCCTCGGGAGATGTGCTTTGGTGGGACGAGAGCAGCCAGTATCATGCCATTGCCGTCCGTGGACTTGGTGCCGTCCTGGTGGGGGGCGGAATGGTGGGGTAAGAGACTGAAGGGGGAAACGCGAGGGCAGCAACCAATAATGCTCTCCCAGTTTCGTAACCGAAACAACGAGAGCAGCCAGTATCATGCCATTGCCGTCCGTGGACTTGGTGCCGTCCTGGTGTTGAGATAGTATGGGTGGTGGGAGGAGGGAGTTCGAGAGGGGAGGAAGGAGGGACGGAAGGGGGGAGGGGGGTTTGAAGGAAGGGGGTGGGTGGGAGCGCCAGAGATGGAGAGAAAAAGGAAACAATCAGGTTGATCACAACATCAAACAGGTGGCAACAATATGGGACAAGCAGCATTGAGTTATGACACAGAATGCTCAAGAAGACAGATGACAGATGATGAGACATACATGCAACCTACGAACCAGGTGCGACGTCCCACATCTCACATGCTCTTGCTTGCAGCAGTGCTTCCACTTCAACCCGATGCATGCATACCCATCCCCCCCCCCCCAACCCAACCCAACCCAACCGAACCCAAGCTGGACTGCACTGCACCGCACTGCAATGCACTGCACTGCACGCACCTCACATGTTTCGTCGTCAGCGATTTGGAGCATAGCAGGGGAGATGGTGGAGGCATCAAGCATTGGGTAGGTGCGCGAGAAGATGAGCCCTATGCTGTGAGAGGGTAGACAAGTGCAAGGGAATTGCGAGAAGCAGAGGGGAAGCAGAGGGGGAAGTGGGGGAAAGAAAGGAGGGAGGAAGCGGGGGAAAGCAGGAGGTACGAAAGAAGAAGAGAGGTTAGTAGCTGTTTTGCGAGCTGAAAAGAAAAAGGGAACAAGAACGCAGTTGCAGATCATCCCCGCCTTGCTGGCAATGGTAGCAACGTACACGTCTTACAACCTATGGAACCCCGGCAGAAAATGCCTAGACACGTACACCCGTTCCCTTCTCTCCACTTCACGCGTGCCCCACCCTGATCTTGCAATAGCCGACAGTACTATGAGAATGAGACACATCAAAACGCGGCAGTACCCTGATCAAACGCGACTTCTGAGCCGTCCAGGCGAAACACATCAAAAGCAGGACACACTGCACACACCGCACCGCACTCGGCATTCTCTGAACAGCCCAGGCGACACAGACGCCGAGAGAATCAGCGCACCAAACACGATCTCTCACCGAGCGGCCAGCTTCGGCACATTCGGGCAGCTGTCAAAGTTTCCAAACACTGCCCGCGCATCCCATGCAGAGGTGAATGGGTGGAAAACGTGTGGCTGCTGCAGGTCCCATGCAGCAACAGAGTCGAGAGCGAGGAAGAACGCCTTGGGATGGAAGTGCGCTGTCTTGGGGGCTCGGTCTGTCTTATGTGCTGTTGGCGGGGTGGGGGAAACAAGTTTGGTACTGGTCCCTCTTAAGAATTCTAAAAAGTGCCACCCACCCATCTCAAATGACACAAATACTGATGACTCGAACCCACCAAACACCCACCCACCCCGGCAACCCACCTGGGAAAGGCAACCCAACCTAGCAACCCACCAAGGTACTTCTCGTGAGCCACACGACAATCCCCTGCTGGCACACGCTCTGGCACATACGCCAATCTTTGGACGCCTACAAAAAAGACAACCCACCTGGGCAACCCAACTTAGCAACCCAACCCAACCCTAGCAACCCACCAAGGTACTTGAAGCGCCGGAGCCCCACGACAATGCCCAGCTGGCACACGCGCTGTAGTGAGGCGATCTTTGAGGCGTCTAGAAAACAATACACACCTGGGCATTGGGCAACCCAACCTAGCAACCCACCGAGGTACTTGAAGCGCCTTAGCCCCACGACGATACCCTGCTGGCACACGCGCTGGCACCAGCGCATGGCCTTGCGCTTGTGCGGGTGCAGCGGCAGCAGGAACAGCACCTTCATGATGCGCTTGTGCGTCAGCACCCTGTGCGCTGCTGACCCCCCCGGGTCCTGTGCCACGCCCTGTTGCAGTGATGGACGGGATGTCATGGGTAGAGGGTACAGAGAAGGGAAGAAAACCGGGTAAGAAGAGAGGGGGTTTGTGGCCCTGCAGTTGTGCGGGTGCAGCGGCAGCAGGAAGAGCAGAGCACCTCCAGAGCCACCAGGGTGGATGCAGAAACCGGCATGCTCACCACCAGAACAGCTGCATACTCCCTCCCTGTACCACCACATCACATCACATGCGGCTGCTGTGTACCCTAAGGCATGTTATGTGAATCCTCTTCCTTTCTCCTTTCAACCGGAATCAATCTTCCCAGATGCATCATGCCCCAAGGCTCTCTACGCGGTGCTATCTCAACACAGCACGCCAACAATACAGCTCTCACTCACAAACTCACTCACTCAGTCACTCACTCACCACATACTGTATCCCATGGCGTGGATGTATGTGCACTTCCAAGAAGGCTCTCCTTTCGGGATCTGCGAGTGCTGCTGCCACTCCTTGCTGCAGTCGCCATGCACATGCATGCATGAGGGCAGAGGGCAGGCAAGCACACACACAGAGCAACTTGAGGCATGCAGGCAGCAGGCAGTCGTGGCACTGGGAAAGATTTGAGCCGTCTCAAACGCAGGCAGCAGGCAGTCGTGGCACTGGGAGAGCCACAAAGAGCAACCAAGGAAGCATGGTTGCACCGTGCCATGCCGGTCCATACGAAAGCCTCGCTCGCACGCATTTTCTTTGTTTTAAGGCACACACTCAGAAGAAGAATATTGAAGCAACAGAAGGTTAACAAGAAACACAACCAGAAATGGCCCAGCAAGCAGTATTGATCAATGCAGGGTAAATTACTTTCCGCATGTGTGTGCATGGGCATGTTGTTCCAAAGGGACTTCAAAAGCGTCTCGAAAATGCCTTCACGGTGCATGGGAAGTTGCAATTGTAAGTAGAGATGCACGTGGATGGGCGTGAACGGGCGTGGATGGGAATGAATGAAGTGAGTGACTGACCGGAGCAGGAGGGTGGGGGAGCAGCCGGGGCAGCGAGCGCAGGTAAGCTTCTGCATCCACTAGAGGCAAGCCGGAGAGGAATTTCACCCACGTTGCTGGCATGTGATTCACCATCTCACTGCACGCACGTACAGAGGGGAAGGGGCGAGGGGAGGAGAGGTTGAGGGAACACGAAAACGAAGGGCATATGGGAAGGAGTGAACACGAAGGAACGTGTGTGTGTGAAAGCAGGTGGGTTTGTACATCCACTAGGGGCAAGCTGGTGAGGAATTTCACCCACGATAGTGAAATGAAATTTACCATCTCACTGCACGCACGCACAGGGTGGGGAGGGGCGGAGGGGAGGAGAGGGAGAGGCGGCACGAAGAGAGAGGACGCATGGGAAGAAGTTAGCATGAAGGCAGCGGGCGCAGGTAGGCTTGTGCACCCACTAGAGGCAAGCAGGTGAGGAAGCAACCCAGGTGAAGAAGCAAACCTGAAGGACAGGGAATCAGAGCGCGTCCAGGCAAGGTGACGAGGGTCGTGTGCACCAACCCTGCTGGCATGGCATAGATTGAAAACATAGCTGCCTTTATTGAGATATATTGCTGAAAGCTCTCTCAAGAGACTCTGTCTGGCACCATCCAGCTGGCGCAATTCAGCCCTGTCTGGCATGGCAAGCACCCACTCCCATCTGCCCACAGTCATGTCCAGCAGGTATCGCAGCTCAGGCGGAGGAGATTACAACTTCCCTATACATCGCTCACAAATACACCAATCATCCACCCGACGCCATCCCATACAGGCCCACAAGCACCCACCTGCCCACAGTCATGTCCAGCAGGTATCGCAGCTCAGGCGGAGGAGATTACAACTTCCCTATACATCGCTCACAAATACACCAATCATCCACCCGACGCCATCCCATACAGGCCCACAAGCACCCACCTGCCCACAGTCATGTCCAGCAGGCGTCGCAGCTCGGCTTCGTCCCTCTCAGCGTCCGCGCCTGCGTTTGAGACGTCTCAAAAGTATGCCCCTTCCGGCGCCCCCACCTGCATTTGGGACGTCTCAAAAGTCACCCACCTGCCTACAGTCATGTCCAGCAGGTATCGCAGCTCAGGCGTTGTCCCTCCCAGCGCCCTCTCCTGCTCCGTCTCCATACTTGGAAACCTCCCCAACCCCCTCGCCCGCACAGCCTCTCTCGCAGCTGCCGTTATTTCTTCCGTTACGGTTATCTTAAAATCCTCCGCCCGTAGTATCGGAACAGGCGGTGCGGCGTTTTGTAAGGCTCCTCTCCCCCTTCCTCTCCCACCTCGTGCTCCCCCCCTTGCCCCTCGCGCCCCTGCTCCTGCCACTCCCGTTCCATTCGCCTCTACCCCACTTGCCCCCCCTCTTGCCCCACCTCTTGTCCCGCCTCTCGATCCCCCCCTCCCTCTTCCTCGCCCTCTCCCTCTGCCATCCGAATTCACCTCCCTGCTGCTGCTTCCGCTACCCCTACCGCTGCTGTCTCCCCCTGTGCTTTTCTTCCTCCCCCTGCCTCTTCCGCCCCTCCCCTCTCCTGCTGGGCTGTGCGTGCCATCCGTGCGATCCTGGCCGTTGCCAGCAGCTGCTGGTGGATTCTGGCCGTTGATTCGGTTGCCAGAGTTGAAAGTAGCGTGGTTATCAGTGGCAGATGCTCCAGCTACAACGCCAGTATGGGCAGGCCTGTTAGCAGCAACGGAAGAGGCTGGTTCGGCAGCCTCTACCGGAAACAACGCCTCTGAAAATGGCTGGCTGTCTGGAATACCGTTCCTATGCGGATTTGGCGGTACGTTTTGGTGAGCGTTCACGAGCGTGTTTGCAGGCGCATGTGCATGCATGTGTGCAGGCGCGTTCGCATGGTTTGCATGGAAAATTGCATCCATGCCTGTACGCATGTTCGCCGGCGTGTTTGCATAAATGTTCCCCTGTGAGTGATACAGTCCCCCACCAGATTGTGAGAGCTGCGTTTGCTGCACCTGCGGCGGTTGCTGCTGATAATACTGAGGCGGATACTCATATGCAGGCTGGTGCTGCTGCAGCTGCTGCTGCCGCGGCGCAGGCGCAGGCGCCGGCGCCGGCGGCCGCGGTCTATGTTGCCACTGCGGCTGCTGTTGACCGAGTTGATGCCTACCACGCGAGCCAGGATCCGCCATTGCTGAAAGAAAAGAAACGTAAAAGACTAACAGAACCACACCACTTCAAACGAAGCAGATCAAAACGTCTCCAAATGGTCACTCTCAGGTAAAACGACGGAACGACGCTGGGAGAGTGACGGATCTGTCGCTCCCACGGGCAAAACGGGAGCGACGGAACGAGTTTCGTTGAGACACACAGGTAAATTCTACTTAGCAAAATCATAAGTGACAGAAGCAAATCATAGGGGTGTTGAGAGGAGACATTGCCACAGAAGCAAATCCTTGCCGCAGAGAGGAGGAGAACCAAGGAATGAACTTCATTCACGGCAATAGGTTTTTTCGCGGCAAGATCAAGCGTTGAGATAGAATTCCTGAATGGAAGGAGCACCAGAGTCGTCCGATTCATGCGGGATAAACCAGTGAAGCGGGTGGCGTAAGGCTGACGTGATGTGTCAAGTGTACCTATGTGAACAAAATATAATATTAGGCGATATACTGGCATAGGTTTTGCCAAAACAAGTGTAAGGAATTTTCTCGGCATTCCTTACGGAGTCCGGCTACATCGCGTACAGCACTGCCGTTGTTCGCCCGTTACTGCTAACGGGACTTCGCCACTTCGCGCGCACTGTTTTACCAAACCTCGCACTGCTGGCCCGGCCGTGTCGGCCTACGCTTCGGGACTAGCCCGAACCTCGCTGCCAGCGTAGCACTAGCTAGCTCGCACGCACCGCGTTACCGTTTGCATGTTCGCATACAAATGTTCGCTCATGCCTTCGCTCACATCTTTGTACTCGTTTGACACTCTAGTGCAATCCTCGCTACCTCGATCCATTGCACCCGTAACAACAAGACATTAATGGACCTTGGGAGTATAAAACTAACACTATACAGAGAACACCAGTTAGCTCAACATTTATCAATAATATTTACTCTGTCTCACTACTCAGCAAGATAATTAACAATACTACTAGGATATAGCTTTGCAAAAGTGCTAAGCCAACTTGCAACATGAAGGCGCAGAACACAGGAGGGAAACGGTACACCGTACGCACTATGGTCGTACACAACTGCGCCACTTGAAACACTCCCATCTGACTACGACAGCCAAGCACAACTGCGACACATGGAGCCCCGTGGTCCGTGGACCGAGGCCTTCCCGGGTCACATGGCATGGAAGTTGGTTGGAACGGGAACGTCCATCCATCCACCAGCTCAGTCCCCAGACGGGGACTTGAGGCCGAGCACAATGGCGCCGCCAGTGGTGGCACTCCCATCCGACGACATGGACGACCCACGGAGCTCCGGGGACGGGGAGGCGGACTTGAGGCCTTCCAAGTCGCACGGAGCGGGAAGTCTGCCTAATCCGCCCCCGTGGGAGACTTGAGGCCCATCACTAAGGCCCCGCCAGTGGTGGCACTGCCATCCAATTTTTGAGGCGCCTCAAAAGTCTAATCAGCCCCAGTTGGTGACTTGAGACCGAGCACAATGGCCCCGCCAGTGGTGGCACTGCCATCTGACGACATGGACGACGCACGGAGCTCGGGGGAGGGGGAGGCCGAGGGGGGCCGCAGCGAGGCTCTGCGGGCGTGAGGGTTGGTGGGGCTCTCGGAAGGAGACGGGTCCTCCTCTGACTTGGACGGGCGCGGCTGGTGCCACCTCATGAACCCAAGGCCTGCGAGGGCAGGGGAGGGGTAGACATGGGGGAGGGGGTTGGGGAAGGGGGAAGGGGAAAGGGAGAGTTGGGTGAAAAGAGCAGAGAGTGGTGATGAGGGAGAGCTGGGGGTTTGGGGCAGTGCTTATGAGTACAACGACCCTTCTCAAGGCAAAGAACAATGCGAAGAACAATGCGTGTCTCACCTCTCACCATGCGTTTAGTTGACCACTGTGGGTACTAGCTAGCACAGATTCCCACGTGCGTCAGACTGATCTGATCAAGCTCAGGAGGATGTATTGCCACTACCACCATCCACTAACCACCGTTACCATCACCAACATCAGCACCATCATCAGCACGACTCTACCCACCTTGCTTGGACTGCTTGGCCTGGAGATTGGCGAGCAGCTGCGAGTGCGAGAGGGAGAGCGTGTGCAGGTCGCCCTCTATGCGCGCCAAGTCCTCCTTGTGATCCCTGCTCAACCCCTGCAGCCGCTGGCATTGCTGCACGTGGGGAATGGGAGAGGGGGAGAGGGGAAGCATGAGAGGGTGAGGGGGAAGGAGGGGAAATGAGGGGGCATAGAGAGGAAATGAGGGGGAGGGGAAAGGAGGGACCTCCAATACCCTAAACAAGATGGTATGTTGGTACTGGATGCCAAGAATCATGTTGGTAGGCCAAATCACTTTTGAGAATTCTCTTTTGAGAATTCTCAAGATGGTACGTTGGTACTGGATGCCAAGAAGCATGTTGGTAGGCCAGCCAAACACATCAAGCCAGTGGTTGGAGACCAAAGGAAAACACAGACTTCCTCATAGGCTCATTGATTTCAAACCCAATTCATTGATTCCTCATAGGCTTTTCTCTCCAGCTCCCTCTCCTCCCCACACCGACTCCCTACCTCAAGCGCCGTCCCAACGCGTTCCTCCACGCCTTGCACCTTGCCCTCCACGCGCTTCATCTCGCCCTCCAACTTCCCCACGCCTGCCGCCACCTCCCCGCGCATCTTCCTCTGCTCCTCCCTCACCACGCCCTCCAGCTTCCCAACCAGCGCACGCACGTCCGCTTGCAACCGCGCCAGCATCGTTTGGGAAGCAGCTAGCCGCTCCTCCTCCTGCCGCTGCACCTCCTGCGAAAGCTCCTCCTGCCCCTTCAGCAGCCGCGCCTGCTCTGATACCAGTTCCTGCACCGTCTTCTCGTGCGCCTGCACCAGGCTCTGCTGCAACCTCTCCATCTCCTCAACCCGGGCTTTAATACTCTCCACATCTGCTGCGGTCTCTCTCGCACTCTCCTCCTCGGTCCACCGCCTCAGCGCATCTTCCGCTGCTTTCTCCTCCCCTCTCCGCTTCTCCAGATTCAACTCTTCCTCTACTGCCCTCACGTGGTCAGCCAGGCTTCCCGCTTGAAGCTCTAGAGCATGCACCCCCTCCTCTGTCCCATCTGCTTTCAGTTGCACCTGCACCATCTCCTCTCCCAACCTTTCCACCTTCTCATCCACACCGTTGATCTTCTCACGCACAGCACCCAACTCGCTCTCCACACCGTTGATCTTCGTGCCAATCTCCGCCTCTAGAAGCTCGATCCGCGCTGCTGCATCTGCTCTTGCCGCTTCCACTGCAGCAGCTGCTGCTGCTTCCCCATCAGCAGCTTTCTTTCCTGCCTCAGCAGCCGCAGCAGAAGCCGCACCTGCATCCCTCTCCACCTTCTCCAACCCTTCCTCAACCCTCTTTTCTAGCCTCTCTACTCTCTCCACCTCCTTTGCACTCTCTTGCCGCAACCCTGCCAACTCCTCTCCACTCCTCTCCACTGCTCTTTCCAACCCAACCACCTTTTCAGACACTCCCTGCACCTGTTGCTGCATCTTCCCTTCCACCTCATCCACTCTCTTCCTCTGCTCCCCCACCACCTCTCCCCATCTCTTCACCAAGCCATTCATCTCCCCCACTGCACTCGCCACAGCACTTTCCGTCCTCTCAGCCGCCCGATCCGCGTTCTCCCGAGCCTGCCGGACAGCCTCGTCCCGAGCCTCTTCCGCGCTGCGCCGAACCGCCTTAAGGTCCGTCTCAAGGTGAGCCAGAGCATCTTTAAACGTCCTCCCCTCCCTCCGCATGTCCCTTTTCACCTCCTCCACACTATCCCTTAGCGCAAAGCCCCGCGTCCTTAGCTCTTTCACCTCCACCTGCACGCTAGATACCACCTCCCACAATCCAACAGTTGCTGCTGAAGAAGCAGAAGCAGTAGCAGAGGCAGAAGCACCATCAGGACTGGCGCTGCCTCTTTCGTCCCCTCCTTCACCAGTGCCATCAGCATTAGCATTATCTCCTTCGCTCCTGCTTTGTAATCCCACCTTACGAACTTCCTCCCGAACCACCTGCCGAGCCTCTTCCAAACCTTTCTGCCTGGCTAGCTGCAGGTCTTCCTGGAGCTCCACAGCCAGCGACTCCCGAGCCTGCGCCTCCCAAACCTGCGACTCCTGCCGAACCTCCTCAGCCTGTTTCAACGACTGCTCCAGTCCCCTCACTCCCGTGTCAAGCCTTGCTAACTCCCTCCTTACCCCAACTAATTCCTCCTTAAGCCCTCTCGTCCCCTCACTCTCCCTCTCAACATCCCCCCCCATTGCACCCACTCCCATCCCTGATTCAACCATCACTAGCCGTCCCTCCAACCCCAACACCTGCTCCTCCATCCCCTCAACCCTCTCCCGCGCCGACCCCACTCCCTCCTGCACCACCCCCATCTGTTCGTGCATCCTCTGCAGCTGCTCTTGCATCGAAGCCACCTGTGATTCTATCGAAGCCACCTGCGTTTCGATCGACGCCACAGCAGCGCCCTGCACAGCAGCAGACGCCTCTTCCGTTATGGAGCTCGCCTCCAGCTCTGTAACGCGTACAGACACCTCCTGCACCGCCTCCCTCGCTGCACTCAACTCCACCTCCACCTGCCGTAGCCTCTTTACCACCTCCTCCCCTCCCCCTCCCCCTCCCCCTCCCCCTCCCCCTCCCCCTCCCCCTCCCCCTCCCCCTGCCCCTGCCCCTGCGCCCCCTCCTTCGCCCACCCCGCCACCCATCACCATCGCTCGCACCTCCTTCACCTCCTGCTCCAGCTGCTCTACTGCTCCCTCCAGCCTCCCCACCTCAGGCGTCCTCTCAACCACCTGCCCCAGCTTCACCTGCACCTTCCCCAGACTGCCCTCCAGATCCCCCACCTCTCGCCTGATCTCCTCCACTTGCTCCAGCAACCTCTGCTCTAGCTCCTTCTGCTCTGACTGTCTTGTCTTCTCCCCTTTGTCGTCCCCCTCTCCTCCTGCTCCACCTCCTCCTCCGTGTCCCCTCCCGGTCCCTCCTCCCACTGCTGCTGCCACCGCCGCAGCGCATTCCTCCTTCACCCTCCCTTCAAACCCTTCCAGACTCCCTTCCACCCCTTGCACCCTCCCTTTCACTCCTTCTAAGCTCATTTCCACGCCCTCTACTTTCCCTTCAACCGCTTGCACCCTCCCTCTCACCTCTTGCACCCTCCCATCCACCCCTTCCACCCTCTCCCGCATATCCCTCCTCCACCCCTCCACTGCCTCTTTCCACTCCTTATCACCCCTTTCCTTACTCTCTTGCTCGACACTTCTCCCCTCCACCTCCCCCTTCCACCCCTCCACCTCCCCTCTCCACCGCTCCACCTCCCGCATTCTCTCCCTCAAATCCCCCACAGCGCCAGCAGCAGCCTCCGCCTCTGCCTGTGCCAGGTGCGCTGTCTCAAGTGCGGATTCCACAGCCACCGATGCTGCTGCTCGCTCCACTGCCGTTGCTTTCTCGGCTGACGCTGCTGCTGTTGCTGCGAGTAAAGCCACGTGCTGCTGGGACGCCAGGCAGCTCTTCAGCTGCTCCTGCACCGGCTGACGAAGGGAATGGGAGCGAAAGACGGGAAGGGGGTGGGGAATGGAAGAGGGGGAGGGGAGGGGAGGGGAGAGAAGGAATAATGAGAAGATTATCTGCCTCAGAGCTCCCTGCTGCCTCAGCCTGCGCCAGGTGCGCTGTCTCAAGTGCGGATTCTACAGCCACAGACGCTGCTGCTCGCTCCACTGCCGTTGCCTTCTCGGCTGACGCTGCTGCTGTTGCAGCGAGTAAAGCCACGTGCTGCTGGGACGCCAGGCAGCTCTTCAGCTGCTCCTGCACCAGCTGGGAGCGGAAATGGGGAAGGGAATGGAGACGGGAAGTGGGGGGAAGGAATGGAGAAAGGAAGAGGGGTCGGGGAGGGGAGGGGAAAGAAGGAATAAAGAAGAGATTCTTTCCAGGACGACCGCCTGAAACTAGAGGGAGTACACTCGCAAAACACTCTGCTACCGCCCTTTCAATTTTGACAATTCTCAAAAGTGATTCCCAGTCTGTCACCGCCCTTTCAGGCTCACTCATCCAACCCAACAACCACCCGGTATGGACATCAACAGAGGTAACAGAGAGGGAGGGGGGGGGAGCGTGGGGGAGCAATCTGGGCTCTTTCTGATTCAATCAACCCTACAGCTGCTCACCACAACCACAGCTGCCTGCCTTGCCTACACAGCCAACCCAACTGGTAACCCCATTGAATTAGCATACATATTCTTGATTACAACCATCCAAGCCCTTCAATTCAACCCTTGCAACACAAGTGTCTCAAACGAGCTTCTCACCTCAACAGCAGCCGCCACTGCAGCTAGAGCATCGCCGTGCCTTGCCTCCCCCTCATCTCTATTTGAGACATTTGATTTAAGTCACTGTAACACAATGTTTTTAAGCAAGCTTCTCACCTCAACAGCAGCCGCCACTGCAGCTAGAGCATCGCCATGCCTCGCCTCCAGCAACCCCCTCATCTCCATTTGAGGCATCTAAGTCACTTCAACACAAGTGTCTAAAACAAGCTTCTCACCTCCAGTGTCTCAAACAGGCGTCTCACCTCAACAGCAGCTGCCACTGCAGCAAGAGCATCACCATGCCTCGTCTCCAGCAACCCCCTCATCTCTTCCATCTGCTGCTGCTGCTGCCGCTCCCACTGCGCCCGCTGCGCCTCCAGCTGCTCCTGCTGCTGCTCCAACTGCTGCTGTGCCGCCTGCTGCTGCTGCTGCAGCTGCTGCAGGTGCTGCTGCAACGAGTGATCCACGTGCTGCTGCTGCTGCTGCTCGTGCTGCTGCAGCTCCAAACAATCCATCTGCACTTGCAGGCTCTGATGGTGGGTAGGCAGGAATGGGGGGGAAACGGAAAGGTACGGAGAGACGGGGAGAGAAGACGGGTAGGTAAGGAAAACTTGCTGCTGCTGCAGCTGCTGCAGGTGCTGCTGCAATGAGTGGTCCACGTGCTGCTGTTGCTGCTGTTCGTGCTGCTGCAGCTCCAAACAATCCATCTGCACTTGCAGGCTCTGGTGAAGGGTGGGCAGGCCGGGAGAGGTATGGAGGGAAACGGGACGGAAGGGGGAAGAAGGGGGAGAGGTGAAGAGGAAAAGCAGCGGTGCTACTGCTGCTCGTGCTGCAGCAGCTCCAAACAGACTATCTACGCTTGCAGGCTCTGATGGTGGGTGGAGACGGAGGGTGAAGGAAACAAAGAGGGGAGAAGAGAAACCCAGCAGGCGAGCGCAGGAGTGGCTACAGGCCTGTGGCGGCAGAACAAAGAAAGAGAGCAAGTGAGCAAGAAAGCAAGAATCAATACCTCGCTCTGCCACGCTGCTTAAGGCGAGACGAACGCAGAAGTGGCTGTCCTTAAAGCAAGACGAATCCATCCATACCTTAAGGTCTGCTGCCAGCACTGTTTTTTGAGAAATTTCAAAAGTGGCGGTCCTTAAAGCAAGAAGAATCCATTCCATACCTTGAGGTCTGCTGCCAGCACTGCCAGCTGCTGGTTCCTTTTGAGTCGACTCAAAAGTCGGCTGTCTTTAAAGCAAGAACCCATACATACATACCTTGAAATCGGCAAGAACCATACATACATACCTTGAGATCAGCAAGAACCATACATACATACCTTGAGATCAGCTGCCAGCACTGCCAGCTGCTGGTGCCTCTCCTCCTCCTTCCTCCGCTCACTCTCCCTCTCCTTCTCCTTCTCCCTCTCCCTCTCATTTTCCCTCTCTGCATCCCTCTCCCTCGCCCTCGCCTGCTCCTCCTCCACCCCGTCCATGCGCCCTGTGAGCATCTCCAGTGCAGCCTGCATCTCCTGCTGCGCTGCCACCAGCGATGCCGTGCCCGAATGCCTCTGTTCAGGGCGGGGCGGTGGCGAGGAGGGGGAGGACAGGGGAGGACAGGGGAGGTAGAGGAAAAGAAGAGGAAAGGTTGTGGGGGAATGAAAAAGCCATGCTGGTTGGTTGTTGCATTGCATGCATGCATGTCCAATCCTGCTTGCATCTCCTGCAGAGTTGCCTGCCACCAGCACCAGCAGTGCATCCCTCTCCCTCACCCTCGCCTGCTCCTCCTCCACCCCCTCCACACGCCCTGTGAGCATCTCCAGTGCAGCCTGCATCTCCTGCTGCGCTGCCACCAGCGGTGCCGTGCCCGAGTGCCTCTGGAAAAGGAAACGAGGGGAAAAGAGGGAGGGGAAACGGACGAGGAAGAAGGGACGAGGGGGACGATGCAAAAGGGATGGCAGGGTTGAGGGAGAGGGCGGTCCAGTGCTGCTTGCATCTCCTGCTGCGCTGCTACCAGCGGTGCCATGCCTGCCCGAGTGCCTCTGATGAAAGGACAAGGGATAGAAGAGCAAAAGGAAGACGGGGGCGAGAAGGTGGGACGTTTGTTTTTTCGACTAGCAAGACACCAGCGGTGCCGTGCCCGAGTGCCGCTGAGGGGAGGCGAGGCGAGGAGCGGATGGGAGGGCAGGGGAGGGGAGGGAGGGAGGGAGGGAGGGAGGGAGGGGAGGGGAGGGAGGGGAGGGGAGGGGAGGGGAGGGGAGGAGAGGCGACGTCACACGGGGGGAGGAGGGGAATGGTGGGGGTTGAGCCGAAAAGCCGTCACTGGATCGTTGCACCGCCTGTCCATAAACGCCCGCGTAGCTTTCCGTGTGGACTCAAAGACTGACACTGCCACGTCAACTAACGGGGCACCTCAGAAAACGCCCTTCCCTCATTCCCTCCACTCATACCTCTGCAGTGTCGCCTGCAGCCACAACAGCCTCGTTGCAGCGCCGCTCCACAAACGCGCGCAGCACCTCGCCCTGCTGCTGCAGCTGCTGCTGCCAGCGCTGCTGCTGCTCCCCCTGCACCTGCTGCATGCGCTGCTGCTGCCGCTGCTCCGCCTCCCCCTGCACCACCTCCAGCATCTCCACCTGCGCCTGCAGCGCCTGTTGGGGGAGTAAGGGAGGCACGACAGGAGGCAAAGCGGGAAACAATGAAGAGACTCACTCACCACCACAACACCACTTCAACACCCCCCCCCTGCACCACCTCCAGCATCTCCACCTGCGCCTGTAGCGCCTGTCGGTGAAAGAAGAAACAAGGAAAGGAGAAATAGGAGGAGGCAGGGATAAGAGGACGATGGTACGGCATTGCAAGCCTTGCTGCCGCTGCTCCGCCTCCCCCTGCACCACCTCCAGCATCTCCGCCTGCGCCTGCAGCGCCTGTTGGTGATTTCCCAGGAAAAGAAAGGAGCCACGGTGGGCAAGGAAGGGGGAAAAGGACGATGAGAAAAGGCAACAAGGTTTCGTTGCCGCTGCTCTGCCTCCCTCCCAGCTGCGGGAGGACGTGCGTGCACAGCACCACCTCCAGCATCTCCACCTGCGCCTGGGAGCGCGAGCAGGGGTGACACAGGGGAGGCAGGGAATGAAAGAGTGAAGGAAAACGAACGTGCACGCCCCCTTCCCCCTTCCCTCCAATCCCTCCCTCCCTCATTCTCTGAACCACTTCAATAACCTCCAAAACCGCCTGCAACTGCACGCAGGCACAGCACAGCACGGCACCGCACCGCACCGCACCGCACCGCACCGCACAGCACAGCACAGCACATACCTTAACAGCTTCTGCCAGTGCGTGTGTGCCGCCGGAGTGATCATGCTGCTGCATGTACTGCTGGCCGTGCTGCTGCTCGTGCTCGTGCTGCTGCAGCAGCGTCACCCGCTCCTCCAGGTCTGCGATGTGCAAGTGTGCATTGTCCAGCGACGCTGCTGCTGACGCCGCCTTGGCTGCCGCTTTCGAGTATTTCTGCAGATGCGAGAATGGATGGTAAGGGAGGGAACGGGAGAGAGGAGTAGGAGAAGGTAGGAGGATGTGCGAGTGTGCATTGTCCAGAGATGCTGCTACTGACGCTGCCTTGGCTGCCGCTTTCGAATATTTCTGTACCCGGGACAGGACAGGATGGTTGGACGAAGGGGGGAGGCGGATCCCGGGAAGGCGGGGAACCGGGGAGGAGGGGAAGATGAGGGGGAGGAGACTGGAAAAAAACAGATACGACGGACCACATTTGGGGAGCGAGACAGCGTGGGGGGGGGGGAGGTAACAGCAGGGCGCATAGGGTGCAAGAAGAACACCATAGGGCCAACGAAGGGAGGGACAAGATGAAGGCGGGCTGCGGAAGAGCAAGGGGCACCGAAGAGCGGCAGGAAAGGGTAAAAACAAAGGCACACAGAAAGGGTGCGAGGCGGCACGGCACACACAGACGCACCTCCTCCGCCTCGAGCAGCAGCATGAGCAAGGAGTTGCGCTGCTCGCCCATGCTGTTGTCCCCCCCCTCCCCCCCCCCCACACACACACGCATACAGACAGAGACACAGACAGAAACACCCACCTCCTCTGCCTCGAGCAGCAGCATGAGCGAGGAGTTGCGCTGCTCGCCCTGCTCCCTCACCCCGCGCACGTCCCTCTGCAACTCCCCCACCACCTCCCTCAACACCCGCATCTCCTCCTCCTGCCGCTTCCGCTCCTGCTCCCACTGCTGCTCCTGCACCTTGTTCTTTTGCGCCCCATTCCCTTCCGCCTCCGCCTTCTCTGCCTTCTCCGCCTTCTCTCTCAGCACCCGCACTTCCCCCGCCAGAGCGTCCATCCCAGCCACCTGCTCTTTCAGAGCTCTCACCGCCGCACTCAGCTCACTCCGTGACATGCGCCCTCCTTCCTCCTCGTCCTCCTCATCCTCATCCTCCTCCTCCTCTTCAGTGTCTTCCTCATCATCATCGTCGTCATCCTCTGAGTCTCCGCTTCCGTTTGAAGACTCCTCCTCTGTCTCGTCGTCGTCGTGCCTGTGCCTGCGGTGCCTGTGGTGGTGGTGCCGCCGCCCCTTCTGCTGCTGCTGCTGTTCCTGCTGCTCCTGCAGCTGTTGCTGCTGTAGGAGAAGTTTCTCTTTAGCTTGCTGCTCTTGCTCCTGTGGGCAGACAAACATACGGACAGAGAAAGAGAGAAGTGGGACAGACGGACAGACAGACAGCAGGCAGGCAGGCAGGCGGGCAGGCAGGCAGGCGGGCAGGCAGGCAGGCAGGCAGGCAGGCAAGCACGCATGGATAATAACTCAACGCGTATCCACCGCGGAAAACCCGCTGGCTCACCAATAATCAATCACGCACATAGTCATGTCTCGCAAAAGCTGGAAAATATCCTATTATCCTATAAAAGATACCTGCACGCGGCTTTTGAGTCGACTCAAAAGTCGACTCGCATAAGCTGGAAAATATCTCATATCCTATAAATTTACTTGCGAGCGGCTAGTCCCCCACTAGCCTCTCTCCCCACTCGCTACTCGCGTCTCCTCGCCGCACGGGCCTCTCACCAGCAAGAGTCGCTGCTGCGCCATCTGCTGCTGCAGCAGCAGCACCGTCTCCTCCACGTGGCTCCTCTTCCGCTCCGCGCCCCTCAGCTGCAGGAACAGCGCCTGTTGCGCCGCGCGCGCGCGGGGAAATTGCAGGCGGGAGGGAGGGCGCACGACGACGGGGTAGCGAGACGGAGGAAACGGAGGAAAGCGAAAGGCGTGAGGAGTGGAAGGTAACTTTTTGGACAAGTTAAAGATCAAACGGCGGAGAGGAAAGGGGAAGGAAGGGTGGAGGCAAATCCACGCGGTAAGGAAAGCCGCGGGGATGATGATTAACGAAAATCAACGGCGCTAGTGGGTGCGGAGGGTGCAGAGAGGGGTCGAGCGGTTGTTGCGGAACCCATCGACGGCTCACGTACCGCCATGCCAGATCCAACGGCGCCAACGAGTCCCAGAAGCGGTAATCCCCCTCCGCCCTTCATCCCTTGCTGGTTGCCGCCGCCCCCCTGCGCTTTCCTGTACCGCCCGCTGCCGTCCATTTCGTTGCGACTGAAAGGGTCGTTGGTAGTGGTCGCACACGCGACGTGCGACGTCGAATAGGGAGAAGGAATCGTCGCACAGCAGTGGACGTGGATACCGCTGCGACTGGTGCGACTGCCTCGACCGCTATTATTATGCTTATGATTGAAGCTGTGCCCTAATGAAAGCTGGCACTTTTCCCCTTTAAAGTGCCAAAGATTTTCCGGTCTAAAAACCCGCGCGCACGTCGACTGCTAATCAGCTATTGAACGGACCCGTGCCTCGACTACACGTCAACGCCGATTCGGATCGCGACGGGGGTATAAGTCAACGCGCGCTTGCAAACACCGAGCACCTCGCAGGGCAGGGCAGAAGAGCCAGTCCGAGTATAATTTAACGTGTCGGGACGCGGAGAACAAGACTCGTCGTCTTAAATCGTTGATTGTCGCCTGAGATTGCTCACACTAACGGCCTTTCCTCTACTCGAACCACGCGCGATACGCGAGCCGTTGACGTCGCCATACAAAGACCAGAAATTAAAATCGTCTGACTCGCAGTGTCAGCTAGCGACGGCACGATGCTCAGGGAGTCGGCGCGCTGTGTGCGCCACGCACAATCAACCGCCTTTTCGCTTTCGCGTCGACCAAAAGCAGCTCCAGTCTTCTCTACTCTCCCGCGAGGCTCCAGCCAGCGCGCTAGCGCATCCTAATGGGCTTTCGTGTGTCGCAACTACACTTTACTCACGACTCACGTCACGGCAATCGCGCACCATCCCACTCCACCCTAGCTGCACGCGGCTTTGCTCGCGCGGCTGCCTCTTTACTCAGCGTGCAACCTCACGTACTCCGTGATTCTCGGTGTTGGGTTCACCAGCAGCCATAATTTGAAAGTCACTGCTAGGCCAGGCGAAGACTAGCTAGGGCACGCTGTTGCGGGCATCTGCCGAGGCTAGGTCGCCGAAGCTGATTTCATTGAACTCTCACTCTCTCTCGCTCGCTAGTAGGGCGACTCCCTCCCTCCCTACCTCGTTCCGCTTTCATCGCTCCGTACATACGTTTTCCTAAGCTCCTTGCTTCGTCCCTAACCCCACAACTTCGCTGCTCGGCTTTTGTGCCTTGTCACCTTTTTCGTTATACAGTAACAGTACCCTGCTTCTACTTCCCGTCTCCTAGCCTAGGCCCAGCAGCTAAATCACGGCTCGCTCACACTGTAGATCTGTAGGTTTTTTGCTCAGCGCGCCGCCGCCCTCGCTGCGTCGCCTCAAATTGTAAAAATCGCCAATTTCGTCCTCTGCGTAACTGACTCGCATACGGCTCGCTAAGCTCGCAAGTGCGGTGTTTACGACAGTTTCAGTTCGACAACCAAGCTCCCCCGAAGCAAGACTGGCTGTCGCAGACATATTTGCAACTTGGCGCGTCGCGTCGGCGAGCCCCCCGATATCGAAGATGTCGGAAGGCGATGCTGAGGCTGCCTACGTACACTTAGTAGTTTATTGCAAAGAGATTGGTTAAAACATGGAAAAAATGTACATTTTGCAGTAACTTTGACAGTGATTTTAAAACATTATGTTGTGTGATTTTACGTAATATATTTTAAAATTATAGTTTTTCACCTTTCTTAAATGGAAGAACGGCTGGGCAATCTATTGACCGATTATCTAAATGAGTGAGCTTTGTGGAAGGAGCATTGATCACTTAACCGCAATGATGTTATAGCGGTGCACCGGAGCTGTGCTGCTCTATCCGTATTCTTGGAACACACTACACTTGGTGCGTGACACGCCAACGACAACCAATCAGTGGTGAAGACACGTCCATCTCCTCCTGCCACGTCAAGTCTACAGATAGCCCACCTGGGCATCACTACTTTATCTGGACGGATTTTGGTGCTGGAAACTCACGAAAACTCCTCAGCTGGTCGCGAAAGCCTACTCGTTCGCCAGGCGTTATGCTGTCCCTCTGACTTTCGCATGTCTGTAATGTTGTTACTTCCATCATCCTTGATGCGCCCACAAACCAGAAGTTGTTTCACGAAAAGAAATCCAGTCGTTGTTCATCGTGAATCTCTTTATCCAGGCAAGAGCTTCCATTCACACGCCGTCATTTCCTTCAACTATGCCTCTGTGTTCCCAGCCCTGCCTTATTGCGCTGTATCGCAATAAGGCTTTTACTTGGCGGCCCTTCCCTGCGTGAGGCACGGCCGTAATTTCCACTCCATGCGTCAGTGTTTGTAGTCGACAAGCTTCGCGCTGCCAGTGAATCGCTGACAAAATTGCGATATTCGCTTCCCCCGAATTCGCTAATGGCGCTTCGTTCAGTCACTGCAGCCAGCGTTACTTCTGTCGCGTCGCCGTCCCCCTCCCTCCATTCCGCGGCATCCTCCCTTCGCTCTTTCGCTGACGTCACCGCATCCGTCGCTTTCCTCGGCCAGCCGTGGGCCTCCCGCCCGGACCGCGTTTCGGCCTTGTGCGCTTTCCGCAAGAACCTTTCTCGTCCTTGCAATGACGGTTCGAGCCGCGACGACCTCTCGAGTCGCGCCGCTTTCTCCAACTGCTCTTCTCCACACCCTTCGACAGCGTTACTCCCGTGCGCGGTTGGCGGCCTCCCCCGCCCGCAGGTGCTCCTATCAACCCGCGCGAGTGCCGCCGCCGACGCCGCTCCCTCTGCCACTCTCCCCGAGCAGCAGCAGCAGCAGCAGCAGCAGCAGCAGCAGCAGCAGCAGCAGCAGCAGCAGCAGCAGCAGCAGCAGCAGCAGCAGCAGCAGCAGCAGCAGCAGCAGCAGCAGCAGCAGCAGCAGCAGCAGCAGCAGCAGCAGCCGCGGAGGCGCCAGAACCAACCGAGTCGAGGAGGCGAGCCGGGCGCCGTGGAAGGAAGACAGAGCGCGGGGCAGCCTCTGAGCGATGGAGGCGGCGGAGGAGGCGGAGGCGGAGCGCCCAGTAGGTTCAACTCGCGTGGCCGACGCAGCGGCGAAAGCGGCGCAAACGGCGGGAGCTTCGCAAGAGGCCGCGGCGGCGGCCACAGTAACGGTAACGGTAATGGCAACGACTCCCCGCTGGCGACGCTGACGCGGGTGTCGTCGTGTCTTGCGGCGCTGCGAGAAGCGAAGCAGCGATGGGTGGACGAGCGACGTCGCAGAGCGTCGCAGGCAAAGAAGAAGAAGGCGAAGAATGCGCGCAAGAGCAAAGAGGGAGGTTCGAACGAGGGCACTCAAACCGCGGCCGTCGACGAGCCCGTTGCTGCTGCGGCCCCCGTCGCCGCCGCCGCTGCCGCCGCCGCCGCTGTCGCTGATTCTACTGATGCCGCCGCTTCCGCTGCCGCTTCTCCCGCCGCTGACGGCGCAACTGATGCGGCCAGCACTCCTCCCGAGACGCTCGAGTCGGTGGTGTGGCCGATTCTGGACCAATCAGAGCGCGAGTGGGTGCAGTCTGACGTCATCCTGGTGCTGAAGGAGCTCGGCGCGCAGCGCGGCGAGCACGACCTGCTGGGCGCGGTGTTCGCGTGGCTGCAGCACGTGGAGGGCACGAGCAAGGAGCTCGAAGCGGGGGTTCGTGCGTGCACGACGGTCCTGGCTGCGTACGGGAAAGCAGGTGAGCAGTTGCGGCAAATAATGGCGGCTCGGCTTCTTTTCTTTCCTTCTTCTTTTTCCTTTTTTTGTTTGTTTACAACAAACACGTGACCATGTTACCTCTCTGATCACGAAAATAGCGTTTGCAGACAGACATACGTCGCCACCCCTGTTACGCCTGTAATCTGATACATTTGACACGCTCCCACCCGCCCCCGCCCACACGCGCCGACACACGCTCGCCCACCAGGAAACGTGGAGCAGATGGAGGCGGTGGCGCGCGGAATGGAGGCGCGCGGAGTTTCCCCGGACCTGTTCACGTACAACGCGCTCATCGGCGGGTACGCGCGCGCGGGGCGGTGGCGCGCGGCGATCGGCGTGTACGAGCGCGTGCGCGAGGACGAGATGGTGGAGCCGGACCGCGTGACGTGCGTGGAGATGGCCATGATGCTCGCCGCCGCGAAGCAGCCCATCCCGCTGCGCGCCGTGCTCGAAGACATGCTGGTGAGCGGAGTGAGCGACCGCGCGAAGGGGCGTAGTGAAATGAAACTGCGCGCCGCGTGCTTGAAGACATGCTGGTGAGCGACGCGCGGGGTGGGTGACAGGGTGTACTCTGAGACTGCGTGCCCTTCCGCCACACATTTTCCCCCTTCCGCCTTCGCCCTTCCCCCTTCTTCGTGCCTTCCCCCTTCCGCCTTCGCCCTTCCCCTTCTCATTCCCCCTTTCCCTTTCCCCTTACAGTTTTCCCCTTCTCCTTTCCCCTCCACTTTTCCCACTCCCCCTCTCTCTTTCCCCCTTCCTTCTTCCCCCTTCTCCCCCCCACACCCTTCCCCCAAGCCCTGCGCATCCCCGTGGGCACGCAACAAACGACAAGCTCCATGGACCCAACTCTCTCATGTTACATCCCCAAAACCCGCCCCTTCCCCACCTTCCCCTCCCCTTCCCCCTTCTCCCCCGCTCCCCCCCAAGGCCCTGCGCATCCCTGTGGACGCCAAGCTGCTGGAGACGTTTCTTTTGAATCCACAACGCCCTTTTCCTCCTTACGCAACGTCCCCACACCACACCACCAACTCTCCACACTCCTCCATTTCCACCACCCCCAAACCCCCCTCCCCCTCCCCCCAGGCCCTGCGCATCCCTGTGAACGCCAAGCTGCTTGAGCGCGAACTTTTTCACATCTCCCCGCTCCTCCCCCTCCCCCTTCCCCGCACTCCTCCCAACCCCCTCCCCCTCCCCCCAGGCCCTGCACATCCCCGTGGACGCCAAGCTGCTGAAACCCAGACTCAACAATTGCACCATTCTTCCGCCTTTTTCCCCCCCAACCCCCCAACCCCCCTTACCTTCCCCATTCCTCCCCCACCTCCCCTCCCCCCCAGGCCCTGCGCATCCCTGTGGACGCCAAGCTGCTGGAGCGCGCAGTGCCAGTGCTGGCGCGGGGGGCGAGCACGCCGTCATCACCGCTCTGCACCGCTCTCTGTGCCAGGAGGGCGTGAAGCTGCCCGCGTCGCTGGCGGTGGCGTGCATTAACGCGTATGGCGCCATGGGCATGCCTCAGCACGCGGAGGGCGTGTTCCAGGTGAGGGGGAAGAAAGAGTGCGCGGGGAAAGGGAGGGAGGGGAGAAGGACGGGGGAGAGGGAGGGGAGGGGGAAATGGGTGGTTGAGTGTGGGGAGTCAGGACGGATCGGGTAAAAAGGGGAGGAGGTGATGAGAGGTCTTTTCCTCTAGCCTCGCTTTCTTTCTCCACTCTCCCGCACCTCACCACTTTCCACTTATGTCCACCACTGCAGCAGGGTGGGGACAATAACATGCCTCTTTGCCCCACTCTGATAACCAGAGCTTTTCTCTTCTTCTCAGTGAGCCCGCATGGTTCAGAGTATCCAATTTGCGTACCTCTCTCCCTCCTCCCTAAAAAAAAGAAGGCGCCACGGCAGCATCAGGGGCGCGTGGAGGACAGGCACGTGTTCGTGGGGCTGCTGAGGGCGTACGCGAGCAACTTACCTGCTGCCCTCTCTCTTCTCCTCCTCACTCCATCCCTCCCTCCGTCCTCCGCTCCCTCCCCCCTTCCCTCCCTCCCTTGCTGCACTGAACCCCTTCACCCTCAGGCGCTGCGGCAGCAGCAGCAGGGGCGGGTGGAGGACAGGCGCATGTTTGTGGGGTTGCTGAGGGCATACGCGAGCAACTTCACTGCTGCGCCCTCTCTTCTCCTACTCATTCCATCCCTCCCTTGCTGTCCTGTACCCCGTTCCCCCCACAGGCGCTGCGGCAGCAGCAGCAGGGGCGCGTGGAGGACAGGCGCGTGTTCGTGGGGCTGCTGAGGGCGTACGCGAGCAACGGGCAGATGCGCGAGGCGGAGGGAGTGGTGCAGGACATGCTGCAGGGGGGGGTGCGCCCCTCCACTGGTTGCTTCCTCGCACTGCTGGACGGGTGCGTGTTGGGGGGGAGGGGGGGTGGGGGTGATTGTGAATGTGTGGGGGGGAGTTGGGAGGCGGAGGGAGTGGTGCAGGACATGCTGTAGGGGGGCGTGCGCCCCTCCACTGGCTGCTTCCTCGCGCTGCTGGACGGGTGGGTTGGGGGAAACGGGCGGGAGATACTGGTGCGTCCTTCTAACACATGGCAGAACGGCAGCTTATTTCACGTGTCTGCCACTTTTCCTTCCTCTCTCCTCCGTTTTCTCCCCTCCTCCACTACCTCCCCCAACCACCCAACCCCCCCTTTTCCCCCTTCTCCCCATTCCTCCATTCTATCTCCATTCCACCCCTCTCAGCTGCACCCATCTGGGCGAGTTCGGCCTAGCAGAGGGAGTGCTGGAGTACTGAGAGAGCTCCAGCTCACATCGGAACCTCTCCCCCCTGCCCCCCGTTTTCCCTCCCCCTCCCCCTCCCCTCCCCCTCCCCCTCCCCCTCCCCCTCCCCCTCCCCCTCCCCCTCCCCCTCCCCCTCCCCCTCCCCCTCCCCCTCCCCCTCCTCCCAGATACACCCGCTTAGGCGAGTTTGGGTTAGCAGAGGGCGTCCTCGAGTATATGAGAGAGCTCCAGGTCACGCCCAAATCCACTCCCGCTCTTCCCCCTTCCCACCTTTCTCCCTCCTCTTCCCTCCCCGCCTCCCAGATACACCCGTCTGGGCGAGTTCGGGTTAGCAGAGGGAGTACTTGAATACATGAGAGAGCTGCAGCTCACGCCCGACCCATCTCTGCACCTGGCGCTCATCTCCGCCTACCTCTCCGCCCACCACCCCGCATGGGCGCATTCCGCCCTCTGTGACCTCCTGGCGGAGCACCCTGCTTTCCTGCCCCCTGTGGAGGTGGTGGAGGGGATCATGAGGGGGTATTTGGGGGGGGAGGGGGAGGGGGGAGTGGCGGAGGGGAAGGGAGAGGGCGTGGGTTCGGATGGAAAGAGTGCCACGCCTGCTGCTGCTGCTGCTGCTGCTGCTGGTGCTGCTGAAACTGCTGCTGCTGGTTCTGCTGCAGAAGCGGCCGCCGCAGCAGAGGCGGTGTTGCAACTGGCGGTAAAGCGAGGGATGGAACCCTCTAATGTGTGCCGGCAGCTGCTGCTGCGCGCACGGTTGGTGCAGGCGGAAGGGGGGGAGAGGGCCACAGGAGAGGGTGGAGAAGAGGGAGGGGAGGGAGGGAAGAGAGATGAAGAGGGAACAGTGAGCGTAGTGGAGGGAGTTGATATTTCTGCAGCTGTTGCGGTGGAACAGGATAGTGCTGCCGCTGTGAAAGTAGCAGAGGAGAGTGCCAAGGCTGCAAAAGTCGCAAGGAGAACTGCACAGATGGCAGTGGGAGGAGGAGAGAATGCGAAGAACGCAGGGGCGAAAGGGAAGGCTGCAGCTGCAGAGGTGCACGTGCAAATAGAGAGTGCAGCAGCAGCAGCAGCAGCTGTAGATGAGAGTGCAGCAGCACCTGCAGTAGCTGCTGCAGTGGTGATGGTTGAGAGGGAACTGGATGCACCTGCTATTACAGGTACAGGGGAGGCAGCAGCCAGTGCACTGGAAGAAACAGCTGTGGAGGCGCTTGGAAAGGCGGCAGGTGCGGAGGCGACTGAAACGGAAGCAGTTGCAAAGGCGAGTGAAAAGGCAGCAGTCGCGAAGGCGAGTGAAAAGGCAGCAGTCGCGAAGACGAGTGAAAAGGCAGCAGCTGCTGGGAAAACGGCAAAACCTGCAGAGTTGGCAGAAAAGGCAGTAGCTGCAGAGGTGGCAGATGTGCTCTATACAAGCGCAGAAGCTCCAGAGAAAACTGGGGAGGAGTCACTGCTGCAGATGCTTCAGAAGGGGTTAACGGTGGGGGAGGAGCAAGTGGTTGCAGAGCTGGAAGCTGCGGGGTTGGTGGGGGGGGAGACGGTTGGTGATGGTCGGACTGCTGCTGTGTTGACTCTGTGGAAGGTGCGAATCTTTGTTCTCTCACGCTCTCCTTCACCACACTCGCATGCACTCTCACTCTCCGTCTCACTCGCCCTCCTCCAGCCGTGAAGTTTAAAATGTACCTTTTAGTGATGCAGCATTGCAATGCAAGCATTGGTAGCATGTGATTGCATCGTGCCACATGGCGCAGACACACAATTGCACTCCAACCAACTCCACTCAATACATCCTTCATGCATTGCTGGTGTTCACTCTCATAGCATTACCCTCTTCCTATCCCTACCTGATTTTGTGCATCCTATCTGCCAGCTCATCTCACGTCATCCTTCCCGCCCCTTGTTTCACTTTCCCGCTATTCTGCGCCCGATTTCCCGTATTCTCTCTTCGTCAATTTCCCCTGAGGCACCTGCAGTCCCTCAGGAGCATCCCGACGTTTCAGCCAACAGTGGCCATGTTTGTTCCTGTCATCAAGAACAGGGCTTTGGCTGGAGATTTCCCCTCCCTCTGCTCTCTTATGGCTGACCTGAGGGGGCTTGGACTCACTCCGTCTGATCAGGTATTTGCTGCGTTACGACTGGCGCCTCTAGAGAGCGCTGCTGCTAAATCGAGTGCTGCTGTAACGAGTACAACTGTGGTGAAAGCGCCTGAAGAGGTGGTTTTGGGGGGTGGGAGCAGTAAAGGGGAAGGAGAAGACGGAGGTGGTGTGAAGCTGAGAGTGAGCGGAAAGGGGAAGTACAGGAAGCGTGCTTTTGAGAAGAAAAAAGAGAGTGGGGAGGAAAAGGATGTGCGGGGTGAGAAGAGAGAAGGGAAAGCTGTTCTAAAGAGGGAGGTGGAGTCTGGAGGGAAAGCCGAGGCTGTCGAGCAGAAGATGGATGCAGGTTTGCAGAAGACAAAGAATGAGCATGCAGTACAGAAGGGGAAGGAGGAGGTAGTGGAACCCATGAAAGTGGTTGCAGAAATGGAAGGCTTGGAAGCTGAGATGGTGGTGGGTGGAGGGAAGTTCTCTGTTCAAGGGGCAGAGAAGACAGAAGTAGAGAAGAAGCAGCCCGGTAAAATAATTGACAGGAAGGATTCCAAACGCACCGAGAAGACAATGGCACTGGAGAAGCCGGATGATGGTGCAGCAGAAAAGCATGGCGGACCAGGAGTGTCGGAGGTTTGTGAAGGAGTTGGAGGACAGGAGGATGGAGTGGTAAGCGAAGGAATGGAGGCTGAAACAGTGGCTGGGGACACAGTTAAGCCACCAACTACCCAAGGGACTCCCTTACATGAAGCTTTACCATATGAAGGAAATCAAGAATCTATCGCCGCGGCAGCCCTGACAGAAGGTAAGGCAGTTAGCAAGCCAGAACTGGTCAATCAAGGAGGTGTAGAGGTATCTGCAAATCCTTCAGCGGGTGCTGTTGTGGGAGATCATGACACAGCACCCTCTAGTGTGAGTGGGACAGGAGAAGAAACTATTCGGGAGCAGGACACACAATATATTGCAGCTGGATTACCAGAAGAGCTTACGGGAGACACGAGTAGCGGTGGGGGAGTTAATGAGAAGGTGGGGAGGGAGAAAAACGGGAGGAAGAGGGATTTGGAGAAGGTTGGCTTGGGCAAAGGAGCCCTAGCAACTGTCAAGGGTTTTGGAGCTTGGAGTAAAGCAACCAAGAAGGCAGGCAAGGGTTTTGGCAAGACTGGTGGCAAGGGAGTAAAAAAGGAGCAGAAACTGAAGGAGGGTGTGGAGGTCGAGATTGCTTGTGAAGCAACTCATGTGGCGACAGCCGTGGAAACCGTAGCCTAGTGAATAAACCTGCTAGCACAGTTGTGTCCAAGGTGATACGGTTATGTCAGTGGTACAACACAGACAATCTAATTGATGTTACCGCAATTGCACACGTCACTGCATTCAGATAAAAAGAGTGCTAAGATTTGTGCATTCTAACATAAGGATACATATTCTAACTGTTCCCTTGCAACCAAGAGTGCCAAGATTTGTGCATTGTGCAGTAACCAGTGGAATGTGCACGTGCTAAGTATCAAAACAGTGCCACCGAATATGCTAGCACCCCACATAATGCAAAGCCCAGAATAAGTGCAAGGTACTTGGATGAAATAAGGAGCTTGCTCTTCTTTTCTGGAGGAAAAGATGGAACCACGTCTGGTACACTGCATGCTTGGCCGTTAACAACCACATCAGATGGAAAGAGCCTTCTCACATCCTTTGACGAATAATTGAAGTACATGCCGGAGCCAAACTGCAAGCATGTCGAATAAACCGTCAATCTCGCACATTCGGCCAATCACTCAGATAATTACAAGAACACAACACAGTGAGTGAGCTTGCTTTCACCAAGCAGAATACTGCACCTTAATTACAGACTGAACATTCCCCAGAACTTTTGAGTTTGGAGCAGTTCTCAACAACCAATTGTTGCTATACTCATGTCCCCAAAACAGAGCAGTATCATCTGCAATGGACAGCCAAGGAAAATAAGACTGAAAGATACGTGCAGCATATAAAAAGGCAGATGAGAGGAAAATGGTGCAGCACACCGGAGATTGTTGCGTTGTTGAAAGAATACACTGCTGAAATGTTGTCAAGAGCTGGCATCCTCACCACAGCAAACCATTCAGGTATGCTTGTGTTCTCCCTGTTAGCAATAGTCAACTGGAACAAAAAGGCACCGAACACAAATAACACAAATAACACAAATAAGGAACATTTTGTAAGACTCAGAGGGAAATGTTAAAAAAAAATAAAGGCACCGAACTAAAGAATAAACAAACCTTTGCAACGAAGCCTTCCTGGTAGTAGTCCATAATGTGCCAATGAACGTGTGATGTACAGTTGTCACTGCACTTAGAGGAAATCGCTCCTGTGTCTGTGCTTTTTGTGATTGATTTCAGAATCATCAAGTCCCCTGCTCGCCCAACTTGTTCTGCCAACAAAGGGATACCCAATTGGTGAAGAGATACCAATTGATCAACAAAGGGTAGACCTAAGTCTTACCTCGAAGACACTTCCCATCCCCCAAGGTAGTGGGGTAGGAATCGCTTTGATTAGAAAAACTTGATGATCCTTCAGTCATGTTGCACCCACACGCACATTTCGCACATGGCACAACATATGGCGTCCCAAAGCTAGTAGTGTTGTAGGATGCAGAAAACGAGACACAGCATGCTGGCTTCTCAGCCTTAGCATTTCTGATGCAGGCATAGCGCCATGATGATATTGCAGTCTTGTTCCGGCCTGCATCCAGCTGTGATGAAAGGTAAACAGTTGAACTTGAAGAAAAACATGAAATTCCTTGTCTAAATACCTGAAAGACAGAAGGTTGGAGTTTTTCTGCCCCACTGCAGGTAAATCCTGGTAGTCCAACTGACAAGTTTCTCGGTGGGACCACATTCTCATACCCTTTTTGTGCCTTTGCCCGCCCTACACGCATTCTGAACTGGGCCACACTTGAATTACCCTGCAATCCGAAGACTTGGTCAGGCAAGGAGTATCTCGTTACTGTGTTAGCAAAAGGCTGGAAGTCGTACCTTGACAGTGAAAAAGGCAGGATCTCCACTTGGGAACGATGGCATACCCAAAGTACCATTCTTGCAACACGAGAGTTGCAAGTTGAATACTGCTGGTTCCGGATAGCTTTCTTGTGAGTATGACTGCAGTGGCAAGTCCACAAATGTCGGCTTCTTTTTACAGGTGTGCGCTGTCTGAATATCAGGCCCATAGACATCAGCTAATGCAGATTCAATGCAGTTTCCCGCATCCGTTGCTTGAGCTCCCTTCACCTCCCAAACAATCTGCACGAGTGTTGTGGAAGGGGGGAGAAAGTATTTAGAAGTAAATATGGATAAGTAGACCAATAGAACGCAATATGCAACGCAATGCATCACCTCGTTTTGTTGCCACATCCATGATAACCCCCACCCTGGGAAAGAAACCCGGCGATCTTGCTGTTTGTTGTAGATTGAAACGAGAACCCAGTAGTACATGGTGTCGACCCATGAAACGTCATAACGAACTTCAATGTCCCCAGCTCCTAATATTCCCTGAGGTGGAGGAGGTGGAGGCGGTGGACTGACGACTGCAGTCTCTTCACAACAGACCTGAAGACTCCGATCAGATGGAAATTGTGGAAAATCCCGCTGGCACTTGTAACCTGCACTTACAGGGTGTGTGTATTAAAAACTATAGCCCAGCATTTCTACCGAGTTGAGGACTCAATATATTATTTACCAGGATTAATAAGGTACAAAGTTCGAGGTAACGCTTTTGGAGGAGAAGACGCTCCATACTCTGTTCCGGAGATGCTAGCGTTGACAGTATACAAAGTGGAATCCCCCCCAGCATTAATCGCTGTGACAATAGTATCGCTAAGCTCGGGAATGCCCGATATGATAAGATTCTTTCCTGCAAAAAAAGTACGCGACGATTTTAATGTGCTGCAGAAGACGGAAAGGCTCACTCAGATTGTACCTGGGTATGGAAGCTCAGGTCCAACTTGAGCGTACTTGATAGCTGTGATTAGCTCGTTGTGCGTAAACTCAATGATAACGTCCCACCCTTTCACATCCCTGCTTTATTCATGTTAGCTTCGGCAAGAAAAGCAGTCAACACGACGACCAAAGACGGTTGGTACCTGAGGCCAGAATTTTGCAGCACCAACGTGGCTCTGAATCCGTAAGGTTGCAAGGTTCCATTCCAGACGGATGGAATGGATATAACTTGCTGGATAGAATAGCTGACTGTGACTCCAAGGCAAGGCCGAGGTGCGCTGGAAGCTTTCACTCCACCATCTAAAAAAAAAAAAAAAACTCGAAATAAAAATGTTGTCGTCTTCAACTTCAAGCCACAGAACGAAGCTTGCTCAGCTCACCAATCTTCTGAGCCAAAATGGAGGTAACAAGGACGCCGAACAAGATAAAGAGGGGGCCAGTGACACAGTTCCAACTAGCTATGTGCAATGCCATTGCCAGAATGAAGTCCGCATGTGTATCAAGCAACAGAAGCGTTCTGAAGGAAGTGTGAGATCAGGGAACCCGAAAAGCAAAGTTGGATGAGAGGGCCTTCGGATGGATGGTTCGCAGCGGGTGCAACTTGGGGTCGTGTGTTTGCTGTACGATTCCTGCAGTCAAATTCGTTGTGTAACGGTGCAAACTGAAGAACCTCGAATATTGTTCTCTACCGTGTAAAACCGCACTGAGCCACGAAGCATGAATTGTAAATGTTAGGGCGTTTTAAACGAACCGAACTGCATGAACGGTTTAAAATGGTCGATTTTCTAAACGCTGTGATGATTGAAGTTACCGTAAGTTTCAGAGCGGTGAAATCTAGATTGTTTAAAATTCCCTAATGTTCCACACCCCAATACATCACCAGGTCCTCAACTTTCCATGTTCACAAATCATGGTACACTTCAGAAATGAGGACTAGAGAGCACAAAAAAGCCGGAGAAAGACGTAGCGGTTGTTAAGATCAGAGAATGATCTACCCTAGGATCACCTCGGGAAGGTTCACACACAACTGAGTAGTGATGGTGGGCCATTGACCTCAATAGCAGAGTGAATGTAAAATGCTTGAGATGTATTATAATCTGAAGTGTGTTCTTAGCGAAAGGAGCGTTCAGGGTTGATCGCAGGTAGTGTCGCAGCGGAAGTAGTGAACTCAGGTCAGAGTGAATGTAAATGACTGAGATGATAATAGCATGCATACATAGGGTTTATATAGAAATACAAAGGAATGCGAAACGACCTAGACTAGCCATGTACTCTAAGGGGTACATTCCCTTATTGCAGCGAAATTCAAACCGTGCGGCGCGGGAACCAGTTTCAAACCTGTTCCCGCTCTTTTCATTTCAAATGTTTCTGCCTGCATCGGTCTTGATCAGACGGTTGCTGTGTCGCTTCGACTCTTCTGACTCCTCGACTTCGTACTCGGTAGAGTCGGCTCCTGCAGCATACAGGAATGCCTTCTCATAAAAACTTCATATCGTAACACTCCCCTTCATTCCTGGGCGCGAAGGGTGCTGACTCGTTTGACCACTCTGGTGAGGTCGGAGCAGTGCTTGAACTGCTGACGTGGCAGACGCTTGGTGAGAAAGTCGGCTGCCATCTCAGTGGTCGGGCAGTACGCGATGTCAACATTCCCTTGGTCAATTTCGTCGTTGACGAAGAAGTACCGTAGCGCGATGTGCTTCGTGCGGTTCACGAACCCAGGCTTGTTCGCGATCTTGATCGCGCTCTGGTTGCCGCAATGTAAGCGAAATGCGAGCGATGTTGGAATTTTCGCTTCCTGTAGCAGCTCCTGCAGGTACAGGCCTTCGCGAACTGCTGCTGTCATGGCGATGTATTCAGCTTCAGCCGATGACATGGCAACCAGTTCCTGGTTCTGCGAGTTCCAGGAGATGGGGCCAGTTGGCTCCAGGCGGAAGACGAAGCCGGTTCGGGACCGTCGATTCGCTGGGTCAGCGGCGTGATCAGCGTCCACGTAGCCGTTGAGGTTGAAGGATGTTGTTGACAGCGTGGAGTAGGAGAGCCCGATGTCAGGTGTGGAGATGAAGTACTGCAGGGCGCGCTCCAGGTCCAGCTGGTTCTCGGCTACTGGCTTGCGGGAGTACTGTGCCAGTTGGCTGGCGATGTACGAAAGGTCGGGTCGGCATGTGACAGATGCGAACAACAGACAGCCCAATTGCTGCTGGTACAATTGAAGTCCTGCGGGGGACAGGGGTTTGTTGTCCGGTTTGTAGTTGGTGCTAGGATTGCGGTAGGGAGTTGAGAGTGGTGCGCGTGAGATGT